TCTATTTGTTAATCAAACCCTGCCTGGGATATATTTAAATTGAAAAAAAAAAAAAAACAAGCTAAGTCTTCCAGAAAATCAATTTTCAATGAAAGGCAGGATTCAATTAACTGTGAAACATTTATAGCTCATTTTATCTCCAAATTCTATCACAGACTATAATGGAAAATGTGAAGATATAACACAATGATACATCTATCAATTGTAATACTGTCTACCGTATTGTGTTTGAAGCCAAAAATATTGGGATCCATGTTAACAAAATTCAAGGTCAGAATCTTTTATAGGATTGCATTACTACCATAAAACAAAGAGTATCTTATTGTGGATATTCTGATGAATCAGATAAATAGAAAATCTTAAAATAGTGACATTATTTGATAGTATCAATGTCCTTGGAAAAACAGAATTAGTAACTGTCTTTTAGGAAGTGTGTGTAGGTTGTGGGGTAACAGGTGTTGTGGTGTTACAATATCGCATACAATATGGCGTCTTGAGAAATCTGGGCAGGCAGACTGGATTGTGAAACAAAATTTCACGAAATAAGCTGCCAAGTCTTCGAGGTGGATTGCAATCTTTAAATTAGCCCCAATGGGGCCGATTTACTAGGATTTTAGAAGGACACCGGCCTGCAAAGAATCAATCTTTGTTTTTGCAAGACTTCGCGGTGATTAATCATCGCTATACTATCTGTACTAAATACATTTACATTTTCTCTGCACAGTACAGGATCATGTTATACATTTATATAAGAACATTAAAGAACATAGAGATTTATTCTAATAATATCTTACAATAAGGGAAACTATAAGTGATAAATGTATAGCTTCTGTAACGCACAGGTTGATTCCCGGCTTTGGAAAGATACGAGGATTTGAATCATTCCAAGGTCACCAGTAAAGGTCGCTGAATAAAAGGAATTTGTAACAATGGAGAGTAATATGTATATATATTTAATTATATTGTAAACCATAAGGTGGGGGTTCCTAGAGATGCATGCCGCATTGTGCCTCTCGCTATCAACTTTCCAGGACGCTGTGCACAAAGACCAACGACAGCTGCCTGGACCTGTGAGAGACAATAAGTAAACTGATACGACATGTGTGGCTTAGAAAGAGGGACTTTAACATATCACACAATAAAGATTAGAATGGACTGGGTGTGAAATAAAGGGAGAGACTGAAACACTATCGCTATGTGAGAGTCTACAATGACCATTAACAGATAAAAAGAACACCATAGGGTAAGGAACACAAACGTATTAAAAACACCATCTAGCCCCTCTGGCTCCTCCTTACCCCTCCCTCTCCCTTCCCGCCCAAAATATAGTCAAATATTTTATTCCAGTCTGCTGGTGAGGAAAGCATTAGATTGGCTGAGATTGTCAATGATGATCTCAGCCAAGGAGGTGGGCCCGGGGTGGAGCCAAACGCCACCCTGGCCAATCATCATCTCCTTATAGCGATGCATTGAATCAATGCATCTCTATGAGGAAAGTTCAGCGTCTCCATGCAGAGGGTGAAGACATTGCAGCACTGCCCCAGGAAGCACTTCTTGTAGTCATATGACCTTTCCACTGAAAAGGCAGTGTTTACTGCAAAAAGCCTGCAGGGACTGACTAACTTCACCAGAACAAATACTATAAGCTGTAGTTGTTCTGGTGACTATAGTGTCCCTTTAAAGGAATTATGTACTAGAATTAATTTAACGTGAAACAATGTAGAAAATTTGCCGTTTGGATAGATTGGCCTGAAAGGGAAATTCCTCTGTCATTTTTCCACAATTCCCAGTTTAGTAAACTTGGCAGTGTAAACTATGTTCCCCCCCAAGAGTAATTTAACACACTCATCTTCCTAACTCCTTCTGGTTCCTAATCCCATCGTGATATGAATCCAAGTTACATCTGATACAGACAGAACAAATGACAAACACTGTCACAGATGACGATAGACCTTTAACTATTAGGAATAATGAGGTCAGCTCGTCAGTGACAGAGAGCCAAACAATCAGAGATGTAAGATGATATATAGATCAAATCATATTAAACGGGGATCATATTATAATAAACAAAGTGTACCGTTCTCATTCAATATATCTGGGTGGCCTTAAATTGTACAGGCAGACTGTCTGTGATTAATAATTTGCCTTTCAGAGCCTGTAAAGCTCAAAGTAATTGATAGACCGAAGAGCTCCTTAAACTAGATTAATCCCTGAGCCGTGTACATTAATACCAAAGGCAGCGATGTTTATGATAACAAACAGCGCAATACATCTATATCTAATATCCAACATTATGGACAGGGTAATACAGAAAGAGATGTTGGTCCAGATTTAGGAAAGAATAAATAGGTAATTATCACTGCCGAGTTTCAGGATATGTTATAAAATTACTCTTAAATGTATGTTTTCGTTCATTTAGAAATAATAGAAATTTAGATCTAAATTTAAAGGGCTGCTCCAAGCATCATGAGCACTTCAGTGATTTGAGGTAGTTATGGTGCTTGGAGTGTGTATGTGCTGCATTACACTTTGAAATGCTGCACGTACGAAGTTTAATGAAAATTGGAATTAAACAATTAAAACAATTATCACCTGAGCTATCACAGATGAAAGTCATATCTTTTACGAACTCCCCCCACAAAAACAAAACAAAAAAACAACAAATAATGGCACAAGTACAATCACTCGTGTAAATTCGAGTTTGGGGGTTTTCACCCCCCTGAGATAATTGTTCCCTCTCTGTTATTCAGGAGCTGTTCATAACCCCTTTTCTAGCAAACCCCCTTTTTTTAACATCATGGGTCTCCTTATCACTTGGGCCTCCCCCTGTCATGGGCTCCTATCGTCCATTTTCATCCATTTCGTGAATATTCTGTTCATTGATTTACTTTTATAGCGTTGTTTCCTCTAACTGCATGATCACAAAACATAATATACTGTATTGGATATATCAAATAAAATTCTATGTCAAGATTTGCATTGTATTACAGAACGAGACATACGATTAAGATAGTTGTGCGTGTCAAAAAATAGCTATTAAAAGACAGACAATGGGAAGAAAATCAGAAATATAGGAGTATTGATTTCAGGACAATTCATTGATGTAAGGATCTGCGCAGTGATTCTCATAATATCTTTTGAAGAAGATCACAGCCATTGTGAAAAACCAGACACAAAAAGTCCCAGCGTACCTAGTACACTGCGCATTGTTTAATGAAAAAATAAAACTTATCGCAACAATCTTTCTATTACATTTTTCCGGAATTAATTTCGTCTCAGAAAGTCTTTATCACGGTCTGAACAATTATTCTGTTTTGTTTTATGGATCTGTCAAAGATTACCTTTGTGTTGCATTGCTACAGCAAATAATACATTTAAAAAAATTAATCTTTGGTGTGTGTTTCTAAGTTCCTTATCTACACTTTAGAGATTAACACGCTCGTGTCCGGATGTGGCTGAGAGGGGGCGTTAATAACAGAAGAAATGTGATAAATAATGCAGTTATATATGATGTTGGAGAATCTACATAAGACGGGCACCACTCACAGGCGCAATCCAGAGTTAATAAATCAGCAGATTCTCATAATAGATGAGATACACGGGACATCCCTTATGGCGGACACCTTATTATTTTTGCACATCCCTATGTATTTTTAAACAAATGGAGGTTTTTACTTACCTTTAAAGGCCATGAGAGGGTATACCCCCCTGCCCCGTCTTTGCCAAAGCTCAAGGAAGCAAGGTGAATGGTTAGAGTTAGGACCCACCTAAGAGGTCTGCCTTGACGTGGCAGGTGGGCTTACCCTCTCTTGGCCATTGGAGGTAACTAAATAACCTCCATTTGTTTAAAAATACATAGGGATGTGGAAAGAGCGCAGGTAACTTTTTCCTTTGGTTTTTACTATGTGTATTTGGGCTGATGTGTACTGTGGTCGTTGCTGCCGCCCAGGAGTAATGGGAGTTTGAGCGCAGGACTTCTTTCTTTGTATCTGTACCCTATTATTTTTAATGACGTCATGTGACTTGCTACATTGTTTTACCTGCGTTTGAAAAAAGAATAATTGTGCAGCAAAAAGAACTACGTGTTAACAGAAATGAGACTATTTTTCGATATCTTGGAAAGTTTGCAAAACGCCTTGTGTTCCACTCTGTGGGACGTCGACCACATTAGCATCATGAAAGCTACAAAGAAATCTGTTTATTAAACTCTTTAAATGGCTCCCAGTGCTATCACTAAACTTACATGAAAAGGATCAAACAGCATTACACAGATTTGCATCAGATATTACGAACAGCGCATCAAGTGCCGACTCCAATTAGATTAATATCTGTAAGTCTTTCAAAACAATTTAGCCCAATTCAGTTTTACATCCAGATAAAATGCAAATGTCTAAGGTCATACATATTGATATGTGCTTCATTTAGATTCGCTTTGCCAGAGGTTAACCTAGCTGTGAGAAAAGCCTTTATCTGTTCATATTTACTAAGTTGTGTTACACTGCAGTTCTAAAACATGGCTAACGGTCCATGCTAAGTACCATAATCACTACAGCGTTATGCAAGGAAACTTTATGTGCTGTACCCCTATTATTATTTTTTGGAACTGTTTTTGATTGGCTTGGAAATTGCATTAAATGCAATTATTTTACGAAGAATGATCTGTATACATTAATAATGCACTAAGCCTGAATTTTACAATTTATATTTTATTTGGTAACAATGTAGTGTTTAGTGGATAAACCCCTAGTAATTGTGGGGGGTTGTCATTTGGGGCTGCGATGGATGCATGCCTCCTGTCTGCTTCTAGATGTCATGTTGCTAAGGAGGAAAATATCTTCAGAGAAGTGTTTGCACCAGCGCGATATATAGAATAAATCTGTACCTACCTGAATCACCATGTTGAAATTAAATCAACCGGGTTCCAGACATAATACAGCTGAGATGGATCTTTTAGGGGTCATTCACTAAATAATCATTTGGGGGACAATTTAGTGTTTTCTGAGCTTGTTTGTATTGTCCTAAATGATTCAAGTCATAAATCCCTTAGTGTGGTCATTAAAGGGACACTATAGTCACCAGATTAAAAACATCTCACTGGATTTGTGCTTTTTGCAGTAAATACTGAATTTGCAGAGAAAATGCAGTGTTAACATTACAGCCTAGGGAACACCTCACTGCCCACTCCTCAGACGGCCACTAGAGGTGCTTCCTGGGGCAGTGCTGCATAGTGTTCCTGACCCTATAGTGTTACTTTGAGTTTGCTTAATAATACAGAATTGGTTGAGCAGTGAGTTACGGGAGGTTAGGTTTGAGTTACTGATATGAATACTGTAACAATCCGCTAATTACACAATGCTTGTCATGTCGTAGTTGTAGGCTGCGGTTAGATATCTTGGTGTCCCTTTTTCCGTGCCAGAGGGGCAATTGTCTGCAGCCAAAGAGTGAAATAACACAAGTATCTTAATACAAAGGACCAGCTATGTTACAAACAATTCATAGTGTACATACAACAGTCTGCCTATTGCTGAGTCAATGACTTCTAGCCAGATACTACATTCTCTGTACTGACATTTTTTTTAAGATTAATGGATCTCTTTTCAGCTGAATTTACAATCTACTTTTTTTTTTTTCTTCTTTTTCACCTTTCAGAATAAGCTGGCTAGACTAAGAACCCAAGGAAATTAACTGAGAATTAAAACAATAAAAATGTCAGTGCTTTAGTAAGGGAATTGACTGGTGCCACCAATTCAATATACCAGTCCAGGTCTAAGTGTACAGCTTACCAGCAGCTTCGTATGAAATAATCATTTTTGGGAATCATTACTCAATTTTGCAATTTTCTGCTCCTTCTTTGTCCTCTGAAGATGTTTTCTTTGGTTTTTGGCAATCATTCCTTCTATCCTACCAGTTGCCATCTGTGACAGATTCGACAGACTGAGTCAGAGGATAAAAAAAAGGCATCTTCGTATAAAACACAAATTAAAATGTAGAGCTGTAGTCCAAAACAGCACATCTTCCAGTACAGACATATGAATTCATTTTATGTCAAAGTAACAATACTTTACATGGCTAGCTTTAAAGAACAACGGTCATCAAATATTCACTTTGTAACTTTTTTGAGTTTTTTTTAAAGTTTATTACATTTAATGAAATGGTATTTTTTAAATTGATGTATATTGTTTTGTGTAATTTTATTTTTTTTTTTTATTTGGCTGAGCAGCCATGTTGGGTCACACTTGACTGTTATTTGACCAAGTTAGGTGTTAGGTTAAGCAGCAGTTGGTCAGATAACAGTAGAATCTGACCCAACATGGCTAACCAGCCAGATTAAAAGAGAACTATATCTAATTTACACAAATATCATTGACTTTAATTTACTGTAATAAACCTTTGAAAACAAAGAGTAGAAATAGGAAGACAGATGACTTTAAGCGAGAGCAAAAGTTGACATCCACATTATTACTAAATAATCACATTTCAGATCCACTGTCACTAATTAATGTCATTAATACAAGTTTGACCGGAAAACCAGGATAAAGGATTAATTTGTGATATATATATATATATATATATATATATACAGAATTGTTATCAGTTAACTAACTGCTATTATTCATTAACTAATCTTTATTAATATGTCCGGCCACCATTCGTTGTGGCACGGTGGTTTAATGGGGTCGGTGGCAGGGAGTTGTAATCCTGTCTGTTACATGTGATATTATACCGTGTAATCACTACAGGGTACAAAAAAGTTTGGCATGAAGTTCCAAAGTATTGATTTTGTGTAGTCTGGCTAGTGTAAATAAACTCCGGAGTCTATCACCATCTACAGCGTCCCAATAGTTTACATCAATAATCAACCATTGCAGAACAGTCATTTACACATTCTCCTGGAATATTGGGTCCTTATCAGATTCCATGTGTGACTTATATGGCGACTAACGGTATTTGTCTCCAAAAACAGGTCACTGGGCAAGACAGGCAGGTAGATTAGAGTACTACAACCACTGCCAATATCTACGTGATCTGAAGTGCGCCATTCATTACAGTGGACCCAGATGTTCTCAAACTCATCCAGTTATTCTGCACATGAAGTCCATTTGGTGAAGATTTGTCTCTTACGATTGCCTTTGTTGAAGATACCGTAATGGACTGATCAATTGTTCCTTAATCCATGATAAAAGATATATCTCTTCACAAATAATTTGTAGGTTCATTTGGCATTTAGAAATGTAATCAACATACCAAAACATTTTAATTAATATAACCATTATATTGTAACTACCAGAGGGTTAGCCATTCCAATCTACATCTATATATATTTGAAACATAATTGTCAATCGTATTCCAGGTTAGTTCAGCAGACTTACCTAATATTCCAGGCTAACATTAATATCTGAAGGACTGCACCTCCAATAAGTAAAAAATATATTCACCAGTAATACATTTATGGAGGTGCCTGTCAAATGGAAGACATCATCCAAATAAAATCTTTGATAAAATATATACTGTATTCATATGATCAATATAAATATACATTTGTTTTTTTTTCTGTGAAGCACCTGCTTTCAAGTAGATCAGTTTTTGAAAGATCTCAATGGTGATAATAAATACATTCTGTAATTAATGTTTTGGTTTGGTTTTTGTAACTGGCGCTGTTACTTTTTACTTTATATTCTTTGGTTGTGCTGTAAAATATTGTATCACTTTTTTTTTTTTGTATATCACATCTTTAACAGCTTCAGCATTTTTGGACGGGCTTGCTAGCCAAACTTGGAATGTGGCTTCTGAGCGTAAAGAAAGACTTGTAAGATGATGGCCAAGTCGATGCAGATCTGTAATGTCCCACACATCCAGAACTGGGCAGGGGTAGCTTTAAGAACAAAATAACCCGTCTTGAAACAGTCCCCCGCTGTCCATAACAAGACCATCTTCACACTAAGAAAAGAAAGGACACAATTCAGTACAATATTCAGACGATATCCGAAGGTAGCAAGGTGACCTCACGGGGCTCCTGAACACTACTGATGTGTAACAAAAAGCTGCACGATTAATGTTTGCGGTTCATTACAGTTTCTGATGTCAAATCCATCTTTATCTAATCCCTTGAATTCACTTTGATTTCATTACTGCACCTTGAAATTTTACAAGAAGCAATAAATAATCTCATCAAAACCATCCTTCATTCACAGCTTAGCAGTTCCCGTAACCCAAACCTCTCCAAAATAGCTGATGCAGCTCTGAGCTGTGAGATCAAGGTACACGTTAAGCAATCTCTGTCATTGCATTGATAATGGAGGTGGGACAACCTTGATGTATTCAGCGCATGCTGTTCCCCACTGAGCGATGTGCTCTGTAGTTATAATTAAGTACATCTCTCTCCCATATCCTCTCTGTGATTAATGAGTTACAACCATCCAGCATTGCTGGCCGGCCCAAAGAGGAGCCCAGACTCATCTGTTGAGATCGGATATCTACACTACAATGAGAGCTGGACAACCATTTCCTTGTCTGTCTCACCTGTCACTTAGAACAGGACAACAAAAGGACTTTTGAGCTAAAGTCCTCCTGACATCACATATTTAAAAAAAAATTATATTCCTTCTGGAAATCCATATAGGTATTCGCATAAATCTGTTGTTTTGTTGCCGTTATTGATCATCGTATGCCATTATACAAATTGGAGGACAGTATAACTACATTTACTTTAACCCCTTAATGACGAGTGACGGACGAGGTCCGTCACTCAGGGGATTGCCATAACGACGAGTGACGGACCTCGTCCATCACCCGTTAAAATTAACCCCGGATCGCCGCTATTGTGGCGATCACGGGGTTAATGGTGCTCCGGTCTGCCTCTGTATTAGAGGCAGACCGGGAGCACCCAATAGTGCTGCCCCAGCAGGCTGTCAGAGCGAGTACATGTGCTCCATATACTCACCTTCCGCCTCCCTGCACTTCCTGGTTCTGTGTGAAGTGCAGGGAGCCGGAACAGTGATGATCCTGCCCCCTGTGTAAAAAATAAATAAAGTTAATTTAAAATCCCACCCCCCTTTGCCCATTTTAATAAAAAAATAACTCCTTCCCTGCCAATTGATCACTGGCTACAGTGATCAATTGGCAGGGATTACATTTTACTGTCATCTGATTTTTTTTTTAACCCCTGAGGGTTAATTCTTTTATTTTTTTAACCCTCAGGGGTTAAATTTATTTAATTAATTAATTTAAATATTTTAAAATTCTATAGTTAGCTAGCTGGGGTGGGTGGAAGTTAGTGGGGAATTGGGTGATTTGGTGTTAGGCTAACTAGGGGTGAACGTTAAAAAAAGTTTTAAAATAAACTTTAAAGAGTTAAAAATTAAGCTAAAAAAAGTTTTAATAACGTTTAAGTAAAAAAATAAAAAAACACCCCACTTTACCTAGTCCAAATAAAAATTAACCCCTTCCCTGCCAGTCGATCACTGCCTACAGTGATCAAAATTCAGATCAGAGTATTATATTGTGATCTAATTTTTTTTAACCCCTGAGGATTAATTTTCATTTATTTCTTAACCCTCAGGGGTTCAATTTATTTAATTAATTAATTTAAATATTTTATAATTATATATTTTGCTAGCTGGGGTGGGTGGGAGTTATGGGAAAACTGGGAATTTACTGTTAGTGCTGCTTACTGCTAGTTAGGGGTTAACGGTAAAAAAAAATCTGTAAAAAAAAGTTTTAAGAAAGATTAGGAAAGTTAAAAAAAAAATAATAAGCAAAACAAAAGTTTAAAAACTAGTTTTTAAAAGTAAGAAAAGTTTCAAAAAGCAAAAAAATACATTTAAAAACGCTCATTACCACTACACCTGGAACAAACTAGAGAAAAAATGATCCCACACTAAGGTTCAAAATATGCCTTTTGAATTACCCCAGAGTGTATTCTTTAATACATAGTATGTGTTTGTGGGGAAGTTTCAATAACCAACCTTCTAAACTACTCCAAATTGGAACATGGACACATCGTAAAACTTCAAAGTTAGAAAGAAAACTGAATGGCTGCGTCTCAAATGTGCCCCTTCAACATCCACATATACCTGGCAAAGGTACATACTGGGGTATTGCTGTACTCAGCCGACATAGCTGAGCAACATATGAAGTATTATACAGTCGTAGCACACATAAGGTTTGCAAAATATACTGTGCAAACTCACTTTGTGTGTCAAAAAGGCAGAAAAAACACTTATTACCATTACACTTGGTACAAGCTAGCGGAAAAATGATCCCACGCTAAGGTTCAATATATACCTTTTGAAATACCCTGGGGTGTCTACTTTAAGAAATAGTAGGCCTTTGTGGGGTAGTTTGAATTTAAACCCTGCTAAGATGCTTGGAAATTGCACATAGGCCCAGCGTCAAAATTCAAAGTTCGGTAAAAACTGATATGGCTTGGTCTCCTATATGGCACTGTAGCTTCACGAAATAGTGCCAAAGACATGCAATGGGGGTGTCATTTTACTCAGAAGACTTAGCTGAGCATAACTTGGGGGGGTTGAACTTAGTGGAACATGTGAAATATACAAAATGCCCAGCAAAAATGCAATGTAAAAAACGCACAAAATTATTTTTTACCACATACTTTGGCATATATTGGTGAAAAAATGGGGGCATGTTAAGGCACAATATGCACCTTATGAGATACCCTGGAGTGTCTACTTTTACAAATGGTAGGCCTTTGTGGGCTTTTTTGAACAGTCAAACTGTTATAATACCCCAAATGGAAGCATAGGCTCATTAAATCCATCTCTCAAAATTCTACTGTAAATACTGAAAAGAACAGGCCTCTTATATGGCACTGTAACTTCATGAAATAGTGCCAAAGACATACAATGGGGGTGTCATTTTACTCAGCAGATGTAACTGAACACAAAATAAAACTTTGTACAGGAATAAAACACCCCAACTTTATAAAATATACACGAGAATTTCTTTGTTATAAGTTTGTGCGCCAGAAACAAACACAATTTTACTCCAATATTTAGCAGAGGTTGGCGGTGAAATGGCTACGTAGAAAGTGTCAAAACAATAGCCCGTGATGTCTACTTTATATAAATATATACTTTTGTGTGGCAATTTTGTTTTCTTTTATGGCTATTAAGCTTACAAGACAAACATACCAAATTCTAAAATCGCTCCACATTAAAGGTTTATTTTACTCCTTGTGTTTTGTGACCTGTAACTACCAAAAAAAAACTTAAAATCCCAGACACATTATATATTCTGTAAATCAGAACAACTAAATTAATTTATTTTTAATTACTTTAATTAACCTGCACTAATTATGCACACATTATTATTGCAAAAACTGTAAAAAAAAAAAACACAAATGTTTTATTTTTTTTGCATTTTTCTGTATTTTTTATAATAAATAAGCATATATATATATATATATATATATATATGTTACATCAAATTAAAGCCCTTTCTGTCCTTTAAAAAATGATATATAATATGTGTCGGTGCAATAAGTTAGTAAAATGCAAATTGCAGTTGAACACAAACAGCAAAAAATGAAAAAAACGCTGTTGTCATCAAGTGAAAGACAAGCTTCTGAAGCTCTGTCCTCAAGGTGTTAAATACAACAGACGTCTTCTTGTAGACCCAACGTTCTATGGAATTATATGTTTAAAATAATTTAATATATGGAAACTATGTGATTAGATAAATGGCTCCCAAACCATTCATTCTGACATCATATACGTAAAGTTACTCTAATCTATATAGGCTGAAACAGTGTCACTTATCCTTTAGGGCCAACGTTACAATACTGGAGCACAGCGATGCAATCGAGATTTAGAAATCCAAAACTGCCTTATTTTCCTACAAGAGTAATTACACCAAGTAATCAGACCAAGAGAAATGTGGGGCAAAGCTGTAAAAATGGAGCAATCCCCATGGAAACCAAATAGGTCAGGTGAAATCAGTATGAATATTCTATAGGTTTCTTTGATGATTGGTACACTTTCAGATATTGAACCCAAATTATTTTATTCTTTTTAATTAAAAATATGTTGCCTACACGTCGGTAAGGATCCTAGTACTGGAGATAACAGGAAAGGTGCACAATGTTGGTACCCCAGGTTAACAGAGTAGAATGCGTAATGCATGAAATAAAAAACAAAAACAAATATAAGGTTTTTATAATAGCAAACGTTATGGCACCTTGTCTTGCACAGCCTTCCTAAACACTTCCTGTAAAGAGACATCTAATATTTATACTTCCTTTACTACAAATTCTGTTTAATTTAGAATTTCTTATCTCCTGCTCTGTTAATAGCTTGCTAAACCCTGCAGTAGCCTCCTGTATGTAATTAATTTTCAATTTACAGAGCAAGAGATAAAAACATTTAAAGCAAGTTAACATCTGATTGAAAATTAAATATTATTTTTCATGCAGGCTGTGTCAATCACAGACAGGGGAGGTGTGGCTAGGGCTGCATAAACTGAAACAAAAGTAATTCAACTTTTAAATGGCAGAAAATTGAGCAGTGAGACTGCATTGGCATGATCTATACACTAAAACTGCTTCATTAAGCTAAAGTTGTTTTGGTGACAATAGTGTCCCTTTAACATGTTTCTTTTTATAGTGTTGCCATTGTCAAATTATTACATAAAAAAAACAACAACAAAAAACAGGAAAGCATATATTGATGAAAAACTTGGCAGTGTCTCTTGTAGCCAAATAACAAAATTAGTGTTTCAACATGTAGCAGATAGCACCATACGTAAAGCCCCTTCTCCCTTAGCAGTAACAGTAGTACTCATCTCCTTAACCCACTTTTCTATTAGTGACACTTTTACAAATTTCCACCCAAGTTTTTCTCTTCCCGTACATCATTACGTAAATAGCTGAATTTTGAACAATCCCATGTCAGAAGAAAAAATACATACAACTTGTTTTTTTCATTAATTTCTTTCCCTAATGCTTACAAAATCAGCATGCGTAAAATCAAAGTGATTTTAATGGGTACGTGTTTATTCTTTGTGCTTTGCCCCAAAGCAAATATTAACGATTTCCTAAGTACTCCTAAAAATAATGACTTTTTAATGAGAATTCAAAAAGATTTCAAACTGTTTCACATCATTTCTTTTATTTTTATTTACCTTTCCTTAAAAGTTTAGATATTTTGGAAAATACGGTAGTATGGAAACGTGATTCAATAAAAAAATAAAAGATTATTGCAGTATCTTGTTATGCTTTAGAATCACAAGCTTCTGGGCTTGTCCCCCCTTTAATTTTTTAGACTTGGTAAATGGAGAACAGGGTCGTAATCATGAAACGACCCAAAGCTGAACATCATTCGTGTCATTGTGTGAAGTCTCCCTTCACCTCCGGAACAAGGTTACATTGTAAAAAATTATAATTATTTCTAAAGTTTTTCTTTAAAAAGGACTATGTGAGTTCATTTATATTTGATTCTCACAAATAAATCTTAGTTCTTGGCAGGAACAATGTCTTAGGCTTGCTAAATTTTCTGAGTGTCAAATTTATAAATATGGGTGCGAAGTTTAAAACATGGAGGCGTACAGAGATAAGGAACAGAGAAGCATTCAAAGTCAAAGCCCTTGTAGATGCATGAATATCATATAACACGTAGTGAATAAACATCCACTTTCTCGGCTTGGTTGAATGTCATGGGAGATTTAAAGGGGTATTTCCAAAAATAAAAATAATAAAATTGCATGTGATATACATCAGGAAGATATAAAATTAGCAAATAAAAGAAACACATCACACATCAGTGTAAAGTTCCCTTAAAAATCTAGTTGTGGTGCGAGGTAAATCAGGTTATATCTTTTGGTGAATTCAAAGTATTTTAAATAATAGGAATTCTATGTCATTATCCTGACGTTCATATGTGGATGGTCACTGTTCTGGTATTCGAATGGTTAAATAGTGTGAAATTTCTGTTTTGTCTTATCTGTATAACTTTAACAGTACTGCAAACTTTATTTTATTTTTTGCGATGGCTCTATATATATGCAGCCAATTTTCTAGCCTCTCCATACAGCAGGAGCCTTATTAAGGATAATTGTAGTTTGCAAGGTACTGCGTTGTCTCCTAGAGATTAAAAATGTGGAAGAGCAGAGCCACTGATATTAAAGGACCACTCTAGGCACCCAGACCACTTCAGCTTAATGAAGTGGTCTGGGTGCCAGGTCCTTCTAGGGTTAACCCATTTTTTCATAATTATAGCAGTTTCAGAGAAACTGCTATAATTATGAATGGGTTAAGCCTTCCCCCTAATCTTCTAGTGGCTGTCTCATTGACAGCCACTAGAGGCGCTTGCGTGCTTCTCACTGTGATTTTCACAGTGAGAGCACGCCAGCGTCCATAGGAAAGCATTATGAATGCTTTCCTATGTGACCGGCTGAATGCGCGTGCAGCTCTTGCAGCGCGTGCGCATTCAGCCGACGGGGCGGATCGGAGGAGGAGAGAAGGAGGAGAGCTCTCCGCCCAGCGCTGGAAAAAGGTAAGTTTTACCCCCTCTCCCCCTTCCAGAGCCGGGCGGGAGGGGGTCCCTGAGGGTGGGGGCACCCTCAGGGCACTATAGTGCCAGGAAAACGAGTATGTTTTCCTGGCACTATAGTGGTCCTTTAAGCACTTTCCTGCCAAAAAAACTGTTCCCAGGTTAATTTACCGAACTAAGGGATTTAACAGCAGCATGGCAGTAAAGCGGGGAGGTAGGCTGAAATTCAGTGATTATGGGACTTTTTCATGAAATCTCTTATAGATAGGAAACATTTGTTACTCATTCAACTTAGAATAAAGAGAATGTGGCAGATATTTCCTGGGTGAGTGTCACCTGAGTGGGTTGAAGGCAAATTAAATTAGTCATTTATGTTTTACTATACGTTTTATTATTTAAAAGTGGAAATGTCACCAAAAATGTTAATCTAATCGTATTAGAAATATTTGATAAAACTAATGCAATCGCCTTGCAGTTTGTAATTAGCCAATTCAATCAATCTGGCTTTGTACTTTGTATAGACAGGTTATAAGCTCATGGGTAAGGTGAAATAATTATCAATGTGTTATATTCTCTGTATACCCTGGATGAATTGTACACTATTTGACAAATGTTACATTAATTAAAATAGGTTATAGTAAAACACGTGGAACATGCCTTCTGTAGGGCAGTGCATTTTAAAAGCTGATTATGTTTATATTTTTAGCTTACCACGTTCATCGTTAATGGAACAATCCAAGCACCATAACCGATACAGCGTGCTGTAGTGCTTATAGTGCCAGTAGTACCCTGGTGTCATCATAGTGTCAAACTTTGCAAACAGTTTGATAAGTTATCTGGGATCCGCCAGGCATCGATCACAGACTCCAGGGGAGCCATAAACCTGCATGGCATGTCCATTGGCTCCCCTCAGCTAAGTCCTGTAGTGCAGGGCTGCCTGGCTTCTCTGGCCTGATGGAGTTCAGCTCACTTGGAGGAGGTGACCGGAACCCGGGGGGTATCAGATACACTGTCAAACTGTATTACATGTTGTTGTGGTTATGGAGCCTGGAGTGTTCCATTAAAACTGCCAGTGCAAGTAATTAGCACTACTTTATTGCATGTCCTGTTATTACGGCAGGTACCTACATGACTTCTCATAAATATCCATTAAAGGGACCCTCCAGGCATTGCTGCTACAGCTCAATTTGGAGATTATGGTGGGAAGGGTCTTATTTACTTTAAAATATTCCCATTGCTTAAAGCCAGACCTTTTTGGTGCAGCTAACACAGACGTGGATTTCAGAATGAGCATCTCCATGTTTGGACAGCAGTGATGGCTGATAAAGATAGAATATGTCATTGTAAATAAAACGTATCCCACAATCAGGACATGCCGTGCTTGGTTTCACCAGGACGATGGCAGCGTGTGCCTTGCATTGACAGCATTATGGGATAAAAATATCACTGCGTATGCTTCCACTCTTGAATAATCTATGAAGGATGTAGGATCCATTGCCCTGAAGATCTGCAAAGTAATAATTAGTTGTCACATCTCACCCCTATAACTGAGCGAACCGAGGATATGTGCTACTCAACTGGGCAAATACATTCATATTAATTACCAATGGCACGGGTGTTCCTTGCAATCGAAATCTCCTTCAGTTAAAGGGAAACCGTCACTTCTTTGGAGATTTCTTTTAAATGTATATTGCAGATATAGCTATTGGAATCCCAATCCGGTTCAGTCCTGGCACAGCCTGGCACGCATTGCATTAGAGGAAGAGGATAGAGGAAAGAGCTAAATAAAGCTGTGTAGATCTGTACATCTAATTTATCATAAATATCATAAACACATAATTGCTAAATTAATGGGACAAGCAAATATATATATATCTCCCCCCCCCCCCTTTATTTTTGTTGTGCAAATGATGACACAGAGAGCTTGTAACAAGCACAGCAATAACAAATGGTATTAAATATGGTCATGACATTTAGAGGAACTGCACAATTTATGAATTAACAACAGATATGCTAAGTGTGCCACAGCAGCGATATCAAGCGTAGTATAAACAAGTAATACACCATGGCATGTAGAACAGCAGCACATTTTTGCATTTTAGTAACAACAATAGTTCAAATATAATGCGAGTGATGAAGTCCTGACTAACTGGGTGGCAGCAATTAAGCAGGAAGTGCAAGCTAATAGTATGTGGGAATAGCTAATATTTTTAGCTACCTTTGTTGTTTAATGAGATGTTATTTGTAAAGGGTCTTGTCTGGCCACCACTTCTGCCGAGAACCATGCTGTGTATTCTAGATAAAATATACAATCTCTAGGTCAGGATACATTTCCTGGCAAGGATTTCTTTGTTGGTTAGTGTCGCTAACCAATCCATTTTGGAAAAAAATTGGAGTTTAGATAAAAATAATTGTAGAGTGGGAGCATTCAGCTGGTTCCAGACCAATAGTTGCTGTTATGAGGAGGAATAATTTATTAGTTAGGGGTTGACCCGGAATAGGTCCCAAGAGCAAGAACTCCAGATTTTCACCTCAGTCAAAAATGAAACAGGTCGTTGAGTCTTTCCTAGCCATTAGATGTAGTCTGTGTGGGGAATAATAGGCATAGTGTAGGGTCTTTAGAAACATGTCTCTGTAAGCGATGATAGGCAGGATTTGGCATTGGGTTTGGTGCGCCCTCACGATGTCTGTAGGAGTTATGAAGACCAGTCCAGTCTGGAGTGTATCGTATGAACATATAGAGTTTAGATGTGGAATAAGTGGCTCGTGTCCAGGAGCACAGCATGGTGTCTAATGGGTTCTCTCAATCCGCTTCTTGAAAGTTTGAGTGATAGAGTAGTAGTAGTAGTGCCGCACCTGGAGGTATGCAAACAATGGGGTTGGAAGGCCCGGGAAATGCCCCCGCACCTCCGTCAGCGTTGAAAACCTTTGACCCGGGGCGGGCCTGACAGCCAAGCTAGCCAGAAGTGCCTGAAGAGAGCTTTGGCATAAACTCTGCATTATATAGGCTAATATATGCCACAATCTTGTTATAAGCAACCCAGCTCAACTAAAAAGAAGTGCTGGAACGAGTGAGATCCGGGAATACCCTCCTCATGGAAATCAGAAGCAAAAATCGTCACTCCACATAAGCAGCCTAGCATGGAAGGAGGCCTACTAGCCAGGAGAGGTGGCTGGTATTCCCCCATAGGGATCGCAAGAAGCAGCAGCTCTACTGGCGACCTGCATTGGGGAAACCAATGGGCTTAAATCCTGAAACTCCTCGGTTGGACCGCAGACCGCATGTCGGGTCGGGCCCAATATGGCTGCCGAACAACTACCCCTGCAGTCACGAGAAAGCCCAGAAATACAAACACGGAGGGAGCGCTTTGAAGCCCAGTTTGACCACATCTGCCAGGACTTCTGGAGGCGCATAAGGCCACCCACCCCACTATACCTACCACACAGGTGAAAGATGCTGAAGAAGCTGCCTATCTATCCAGCGTCCACGTGGAGAAGTGTCCGACCACGGATCCTCCAAGCACCGAGCTGCATGACATCGCCGGCAAGCACTATGCCACATCGCGGCAGTGTGCCTGCATGGCACCCACGAAGAAGCCAACTCCACACTGGCAAGCCGCACAATCGGAGAGCTCACATATGGCACCATAAATCAAGGGCACTGAGACGGCCTCAAGGCCATGACTCGGTCATTGAACTAAGCGGTAATTGAACTCCTATCGACCAATGCGGTAAGATAGGTAGGAGCGTTTGGATTTTCATTGCTATGATTTTAGTGAAAACCTTAACATTTTGATTGAGTAGTGAGATTGGTTGATAGGAGTCCAAGGCTTCTGCATCTCTGTCTAGTTTGGGGATAAGAATGACTCGGGCCTGATTGAGAGTGTCTATTGGTAGACCTTCAAGATATGTTTGGTTAAATAGGTATTTGAGGGTGGGACTGTTTTGGAGTTTTAGGGAATTGTAGTATTCTGCTGTGAGACCATCTGGGCCAGGTGCCTTCCCAGATATCAGTGTTTTGATTGCTCTGTGTATTTCCTCCTCTATGATAGGTTCACACAGGAGCTCCCTGGCCTCCTCATCAATTTGGGGGAGGGCTAGGCATGATTGTCCAGTGGGGCCTTTGCTAAATTTCTATGGTAATCATAAAAAAATGTATTTATTAATTCATGAGACGTGCATCTAGTGCCATCTGGTGAGGTGATAGCACGAATGTGTTAAGGTAATTTTGTGCTTCTTTGTATAGTTGTTTGTGGTCATCGGTGGGGTCAGTTATATTTTGCATGTGTGCCTGTTTGAGAACATTTTCTAAGGAGGTAAAGTCTTGTTTCCATGCCATTTTAGCTGATGCAGCAAATAAGATTTTTTTTCCTCTCAAGACCACTTTGGACGTTTCCCATAATAGTCTGTGGTCATCCGTGTGTTCCAGATTGTCATTGATAAAGTTAGCCCAACTGGCCTGGAGATGACTTTGGAAAGACAGATTATTAGTAAAATATGCTGGGAAACTCCAGTGTGCAGTGAAAGGGCAGGATGTTGGGTTTTGTATCTTTACCGTGATAGGTGCATGGTCCGAGACCACTATTGTATCTATCGTAACGTTGATTACATGGGGCCGTGCTGCTGAGGTGACTAAAAACCTGTCAGTCCTAGATAGAGAGTCGTGTACTGGGGAGTGAAATGTGTAGTCCCTCTCCGTCCTCCATGGGTCATGTAAATTACAGGAGCTGGTCAGGTGTGTGAGGGCACGGTCACTGTCTGTGGGAGACGAGGAACCCGTTGGGGATCTGCCTAGAAGATGGTCAAGAACAGCATTAAACAGACGGAGCAAGGCTACACACAGCAGTGGCTCCACCTCCCAAAGTACATTTGCGGGCGATACGTCACCTTACTGCGAGGTAGACAGACTACGGAATCCCCCCCCCAGCGCTTCCAGCGTACATCCCCTCCAGTAGACCACCTGCACATTAGGGACTCACACTAAGTGCGCCCTAGGGTACCCGCCGGCACTTACACAGTACCATGTCCAATTCTGAGAGCCCAATGAGACGGGACATTCCTCTCCACCCTCCCCCTCCAACTTGTAACTTCAAACACGGGGCCATGGTAGAACTTACCCATGAGGTTCCACCCCCCTCAGCCAAAAGCACGGCAGCCTAGCCCTCTAAAAACGGGGAAATCAATACCCACAAATTGCTCCAGACATTAGAGACACTTGGCATATCATTCCAAAATACTTTCATGGTATGGGGGTCACCCCCGGTGAATTGGTTCATGACCCAGACCCCTCAGGCGGAAACAGTCCTGAAGGAGGCAAGGATCCAAGTATCCCCCCCACAGTCTGGCAAGGCATAAGACCAGATGGGTACACCTGTACCCCCCTTGGACCCCTCACCCCCTATCCCACCCCCCCCCGCATACCACTCTACACGTCTCCAAACTGCAAATCGACCCATACTTTACAAACACCTCGGTCACTAATAGATAAGACAACACCCTCCCACGGGAACCCCACTGACGCAGAGAGAAGGGTGAGCAGAGGTGGAAGAGGGCCACCCCCCGAGCCACACCCCATACGTCTCTACATCATCGGAGTCGCTCTAACTCTAACACCATGGCAATAAAAATATCCTCACTCAATGTTAAGGGCCTCAACGCCCCACCCAAGAGACGCACGCTTTTTAGGGAACTGAAAAGACTTAATCCAGACATCGCGTACCTACAGGAGACGCACCTACCTAGATCCGCCCAGGTCTCCCTCCGCGACCATACCTACCGTGTAGCTGCTGAGGCACGAGCCTTCCAAAAACGAAACGGGGTAACTATCCTCATCCACAAACGATGCCCTATACACCTCAGCCACGTAGAAAACGACCCAGAGGGCAGATACATAATAGCGACAGGCCAAATCTACACACAAACCATACATCTAATCAACATCTACGCTCCCAACACCCCCTCCCCACAATTCTGGAACCAATTGGCTGACAAAGTCCTGTCACTACCCAATGGAGTGGTCATTCTAGGAGGCGACCTAAATGCCACCCCCTCCCCAGCAGCTGACAGAAGCTCGCGCCCGGGACTGGCCAGATCCCACGGCAAGGGAGGACAGGATAAACAACTCAATGACTTCATTCATAAAACGGGACTTATAGACGCGTGGAGGGCACAGCACCCCAGTCACAAAGACTATACCTACTATTCTCCCCCCCACGACACCTACTCACGCATTGACATTTTCCTGACCAACCAAATAGGCTTCACTAAAACCCAAAAAACAGAAATAGGCTCCATTGCCTGGTCAGACCACGCAGACATTGCAATCTATTTGGAAGGCCTACACAGTCCCACCCCATGGACATGGAGGCTCAACACCTCCCTTCTAAAAGACCCACTAGTTGTAGCAGAGGTACAAACACAGTTACAAACATACTTCACAGAAAATCTGACGCCAGACGTCCCGATGACTGTAGTTTGGGCAGCACACAAAGCCGTCATTCGAGGACACCTCATCAAAATAGCGACGCATAGGAAGAAATTGAAAACCCAAAAACTCACCCAGCTACTAGATACTCTCCGTAAAGCAGAACAGCGCCACAAAACAGACTCGAACCCACAAACATTACAACACCTACACGACACGCGCCTCTCCATCAGGCAGCTGCTGATAAACGACACAGCGCGAGCACTCACATGGACTAAACGGACGTATTACGACAAATCGAATAAAATGGACACACTGTTGGCCCGTACACTCCACCCCAGAACGCAACGCCCCCACATTACGTCCATACGAGCCCCCGATGGCACCATGAAAACCACGCCAACAAAGATAGCGCAGACCTTTACCTCCTATTATGAAGCCCTATACAACCACACCCCTCAAGGCTCTACACCCACTCCAGCGGCTTGCCTGAGAACATCAGAATTCTTAACACGCCTCAACCTACCCAAACTCCATACTGCAGCCATAGAGGAACTATCAGCCCCAATCACCAAAGACGAAATCAATCTGGCCATATCATCCCTAAAGAGCAACAAAGACCCGGGCCCTGACGGCTACGAGGGAAGCTATTACAAAACCTTTCGCGAAGAATTGCTCCCACACATGGAAACCCTATTCCACGAATTACTTGAGGGAACCCCGCCTACCAAAGACATGACACAAGCACACATCATACTTCTACCTAAACAAGACAAGGACCACACTCTACCAGAGGCATTCAGACCCATTTTACTAATAAACCATGACAGTAAAATTCGGGCAAAAATACTGGCGACATGACTAAACCTGCACCTCACACACCTCATTCACGCAGACCAGGTCGGGTTCGTTCCCGGCAGACAGCTATTTGAAAATACAAGACCAAATATAGACGTAATATGGACACTCACTACAACCAACACACCAGCGATAGCCCTCTCCCTAGACGCTGAAAAAGCGTTCGACAGGGTGAACTGGCCATACATGTTCACGCTGCTGGAACACTTAAACTTACCCCCCACCTTCATCACGGCAGTACGGGCGCTATACACGGACGTGACAGCCCAAATACAGCTGACCGGGTCGAACAGCCCACGATTCAACATATATAACGGTACTAGACAAGGATGCCCCCTATTCCCGTTGTTTTTTGTCCTAACACTTGAACCCCTTCTACAGGCAATCAGAGAACACCCCTAAATTACGGGGGCAAAGATAACAGACCAAGAGTTCCTAGTGTCCGGATATGCGGACGACGTCCTCATCACATTAACTAACCCCATACACTCCATGCACGCACTAATGCCCCTCTTGCGGAACTATAGTGCAATATCAGGCTACAAAGTCAACATGGAGAAATCCAGCGCGCTCCCACTATTTCTCACACAAAATGAGACCACCCGAATCACGTCAGACTACCACATACGCATGACACCGACCTACCTCTCCTACCTCGGCATAAAACTGCCGGCGGATCTCACGAAGCTACACAAACTTAACTACTCCCCAATAATCACTAAACTCATAACTGACATGGAGACCTGGGCGGACAAACCTATATCTTGGATCGGGAGGATACACTCGGTGAAGATGAACATCCTACCCCCTATCCTTTTCCTATTCCAGGCCTTGCCCATCCCCATAACGAAACACGACCTAAAGCCATTACAACAGGCCATTGACCGCTTTATTTGGCACAACAAAACACATAGAGTAGCCCGTAACATTCTATACCGCCCCAAAACCAGAGGGGGATTAGGTCTACCACACATACATTTCTACTACATTGCAGCCCACTTGACACAAATAGCAATATGGCATACCCCTCCAGAAACCAGGAGATGGGTTGACCTGGAATATCTGATTATGAAATCAGACCTTCCACAGTTCTACATATGGACCCCGAAAGAGCACAGAGCACTCTTGAGGACCGCCTGCCAGCCATCACGAATTCGATCCACATTTGGGACAAATATGCCATAAAATATGAACTAACAACAACGTCCTCCCCCCTCACCCCCATATACCGAAATAGGGCATTTGCTCCGGGCACGAGACCTAGAGACTTCAGGGGCTTAGAAAGAGCGGACCTACAAAGAGTTCACCAACTCTACACAGGACACGAAATAATCCCTTTCGCGGAATTACAAACCAGAACAACCCTGACCCCTGCAGATTTCTTTAGGTACCTCCAGCTAAGACACTATGCTACCCAAGAGTCTGTCAAAATAGCTGCCACAACTAAACCGACATTCTTTGAAAAAATATGCCTGGCCGAACGCTACCAAAAGGGAATGATCTCCCTCCTGTACTCCCACCTCTGCTCCACCACGCGGGAATGGGGCGCCCTCCACTACACTGACAAGTGGGAAACCGATCTTGGGGAAACCTTAGAAGGCATAGACTGGCAGGATATATGGCAGGCAAACGCCAAAACTTCCATTTGCGTCACAATGCAAGAACAGGCGTACAAAACGATGTTCAGGTGGTATACCACCCCTGTTCAATTATACCATATGAAAAAAACACCCACAGACCTCTGCTGGCGCAACTGCGGAGAGAGAGGGACGTATACCCATATGTGGTGGCACTGCCCTAAGATTCAAATCTACTGGAAGGCCATTCAAACCCTAATAACCCAAATATTAGATAGGCCAGTGACACTTAACCCATGGGCGTTCCTGTTGGCCAGACCCCAGGAGGGTTGGCCCAAACCAAACCAACAACTAGTTAACAAAATAACCTTAGCGGCCAGAAGAGCAGTAGCCCAAACCTGGTTACAACAAGACATCCCCCCAGTAGCAATAGTGATCAATAAGATTAAAGAATGCCATCTTATGGACAAACTCACGGCCCAAGTTAGGGACACAACCAAAGCTTTCCATAAGACGTGGGAACCGTGGGAGACCTACAGTGACCAATAAAGACCAAATAGCAGAAAGGAGACGCAAACACAAACAACGGACTGAAGTATAACCCCCCCACCCCACCTTGCCCATACACCCCCCACCCTGACCACCACCGTTGGGCCGAGACGACCGGTATCCCGGCCCGCAGTTTAGTTATCTCTTACTTTTTCATTTCTTTTCTTCGTTTACTTTTCATATTGTTTAAAGTGATGTTCACTACTCTTGTTGAAACAATAACAACGGATGAAAGTAGCAATGATGTCATTACCTGAGACATTTCTCACATGTACTTTGGCATGTTTGTGTACTAAACTCACCTCTTGGAACGCCATTGAGCTCTTGCACGAGCCAAATCTTTCACATTGTCTACTCAATACCGTTGCAAAAATAAAGTAAAAAAAAAAAAAAAGAACAGTATTAAAATCACCCCCAATTATTATTTGGCTAATGTCGATTTGAGCAAGTAGGGTTAGAAGTTTGATGAAAAAGGGTTAAGTACATGCATTTGGAGCGTATACATTTACAATACAGTGGCAAGTAGCATCGATGGTAAGACATAGGAAGATATAGCGGCCTTCGGGGTCTATATCACAATCTTGAGCAACATATTGCAAATTAGAGTGCAACAAGATCACCACCCCTCTGGTTTTCGAATATTTATTTGTGGTCGGGGCAATATTCCCGTAATGGTTATATAACATATAATTAGTAATAAACATTATAGTTAATAATACCAGTCGGTTGTGGTGTGCCGGAACCGACAAGGCAATAGGCCTGTAATAAAGAGGGCCCACCTTAGGTGATGTGACTAAAGGGAGTGGTGGGAGGGGTAACTTGCCAGATCAACCACGGTAAAGTGGGAGAGGATTAGATGCCCTTATAAAGGGGACCCAAGCCTCTCCCACAACTACAGGTCCAGCTTTAAATCTGCAATACAGGCCTGGATCCAGGGGGGCTTGAGTTGAGTAGCTTCAGAAGTAACAAATTAGTTTTTTGCAGTAATGTAATTTGGGCTTGATGTTTAGTCAGGTAGGTGAGTATCTTCTTTTTTTTGATGGGTGTGTTTGCTCCCTACATTCCAGGAGAGGAACTTGAGAGTAGAAGCATAGTTGTGTTGAGTTGATTGAGACATTTTTGTTCAGTCGACTCCTCGGCATGGTGCCTAGCGGAAGACATGTTGATGCGTTGTAGTGGGATTCCGTCTGTCCCAGCTCGAGCAGACAGGTAAGTCCCGGTGTGAAGGCAGATGGGGCAGTTTACGATACTGGCATGAACAGGGCCCAATGGGCCAACTTATGTACAATGGTTGAAACTAAAAGATTAGGAAATTGAGATTACTGTAGCTCTCTTAGTAATCAGGCATGGGATGGACAGGCCGGCTGGATGAGCCCTTATCCCAACCCGGCATGACATCTTGTAGGAATTTTGAGGCTTCAGCCACTGACGAAGTGGAGAGGGTGTGATTGGCAATTTGTAGGCGAAAAGTGGCTGGGTAGAGGCAAACTGTATGCCTTTTCTATATAGCATTGAACATATGGGAGTGAATGCTTTTCGTCTCTGAGTGACTTGAGCAGAGTAGTCCTTGAATATCAAGATTTTGTTGTCTTGGTAAGTGGGATTATTTGAGGATTTTTAAGCTGCTAATATACTCACTGTGTTATGATAATTAAGAATTTTTGCTATAATTGGCATGGGTCTTGACTCTTTGCCTGGTCTGTCCAGCCCAAGTCTGTGTGCCCTTTCAATGACAGGAAGGGTGTCTGAGGTGGTTGTGATTTGTAGAGTATCTTGGATCCAAGTTTGTAGAGTAGGAATTATGTCAGGGGATCTCAAGGTTTCTGGGAAACCAACAAATTTAAGGTTGCTTTGGTGGCTTCTGTTTTCTAGGTCATCCAATCTTGCAGGGGTGTTAATGTGGTATGCTGTTGCTTAATTGTGGATTGTAGTTGATGAAGCTTGTCTTCTGTTGTGCTTTGTCTTGTTTCTAAGAGCATGAGTTAGGATGAGTGAGCTTGTAGGAGATGTAGAGCATAATCTATGGACACTTTGAGGTCTTTAAATTGTGTTTCAAAAACTGGTTTGAGTAGATTGGAGACTTCTCGTGAAGTCTCCACTGCTTGTCATGATACAGGAGTGGCTTGGAGAGAGATGTGGAGTTGAAAGTAATGTAGGTTCTTTGAGATGTGGCTTCTTCAGCAGTCTTTGTAGTTTTCCTTGATCTTTTAGAAGGTGCTTTGTCTATGAATTTGTCCATGACGGTGGAGCAAAGTCAGAAATAACTTGGGAGGAGATTAGGTAGGAGCAGAAGGTAAGCGTGTGGCAAACTGAGATGGTGGATGGTGTGAAGTCGTATGGCAGTAGATGGAAAAGTGTTGACGTGGAGGTTCAGTAAGTGAAATTCAGAATTTGTTTGTGTACCTAGAGATGAATGAGCGCTGTTGTCAGGTATGTGTGAACAGGTAAGTGATATGTGCAATGTTACTCGCAGGGAGAAGTGGAGCAAAGTTTATAAGTGGGGGAAAAGAATAGTAGGAGAAAAGGGGGTTAAAGAGGGGAGCAGGTAAGAAAACCGTCTGGATTTTAAATGAGGTGCCTGAGGTGGCTAGTTGCTGTGTTGTCTTTTCATCAGCCAGGGCCAGTTGCCTTGTTGTTTGACACCAACCTGGCATAGTGATGCCTTGGTATGTAGTGGCTTTAGGTAGGTAGGAGTGGTAGGTGTGTAAAAAGCTCAGTCCCTTAGATATTTTATAGGTTATCCCTCATGTTGCGACACCACAGTTGTAGGAGCGTCAGTGTTAGGCCTCTACAGCGGTTGTTGATAGCCCTCTGAAATGAGCGGTTTGGGATGTTTGAGTAGCTTAAACAGCGAGAAGTTGCGATTTTTGTTGTGAAGTAGGAGAGGTTCCCTAACAGGCCTCTTCTTTGCCATGTCTGCTTTATGCAGGTTAACCGTTTGAGGCCAAATAGAGACGTTGGAATATTGGTTGTAAATGATGCCAGAGGGCAAACAGATTTGCAGGATCTTAGTTGGAAAGCTTATGTGAGCAGAGGAGCAGTGATGATAAAGGCCAACTGATGTGGCAAGAATTAATAATAAAAACAATCTAATTTATGAAAAGAGCTATTTACATTAGGGCCTGTCCAGTATTATATGTGGAGTATGGGAGAGAGTCAGAGCTGTGTCCCCACTTTGTGTGTTAATGCTTGAGCTGCTCTTTGCTTGCAATAGCTCTTTAGAGTGGCACAGGCTGCACCAGGGATGGAGAGTCTGCTGAGTGCTGCCCAAAATGGCAGGGAATCATGGTTTGGCTCTGTGCCAGTGTGTTTTGTGAGAGGTTGCTTTTCTGCAGTTCTCCGCCGGCTCCCCCCTTTTTTCCGTAAGGCACCTCAGCTCCCCAGTGGCGGTCGGGGTCGTGAGGCCACAATCCTCTGGTGAAGGTGGGAACCCGAGAACAGGCTGAACTTTTCAGCATATTACATAGGCCTTGACTTCCGTCCGTCCCTCGCGGTGTTTCCGAGGTCCAGTGAGTCCTGCCGAGGCTCCAAACAGCAGCCCCCGCATAGATCAGGGTGCCACAACACCTCTTTTTCGTGTGGGGTAGATCTGTGCGGCTTTACAGGGCTGGATGGCACCCAATTACGGTGCACGGCTTGGAGACATTGTAAAACGCGGCCAGCTAAGATGGCGGCAGAACCGGAAGCCAGCAAATATATATTTTTAAAAATCCCAGTAATTGACCATTGCCCTTTAACCCCTTAAGGACGGCGGGCGTGCTATGCCGTCCTTAGGGAACCGGCTCTAAAAGGTTGGCAGGTCCCTGCCGTCCAGGGTACTTACCCGGTCGCCGGCAATCACACGCCGGCGATTGGGGTATGGGGACTTACCTGGGAGCCCAGGGATTCCCCCTCAGCCCTCTTTGGCCCCGTGGGCCATGTGATCACGAGGTCCTTGCGAGGACCTCGCGATCACATAGACGGCATAGCCGTCCATAGCAATGACAGGTACTCCCCCTGCTGTCTGAAAAAAAATTAAATACAGTTTAAAACAGTGTAAAATTTAATTATATATACTTAGATCATATATATCTATTATATATATGATCTAAGTATATATATATACACACATATACAAACATACACATACTCTGTCTATATATTTATATATATATTAACATCAAAGTACACGTAGAATAATATTGATTAAATATATATCATTATTATTATATATATATATATATTTAAATATAATATAAAATATATAAATATGTAAATATGTAAAAAAATAAAATAAAAAAATAAAAAATATATGTGTAAATTCGTTCTAACTGTATTTTAAAATTAATATATATATATATATATATATTGATATCAAAATACACGTAGAACGAAATAATATATATCTATATACATAAGTATATACGTATATATCACTATATCTATAGCTATATATAAATAAAAATAATTTAAAAAAAAAAAATATATATATATATATATACACAAAATACAGAATCCAGCACACTCGCTTATTCACTAAACAATGATTTCAAATCTTAGACACCTGTGACAGGGAGGAGTGCAAAACCAAGGAGTTGGCCTGGGACTCCCAAATTGCACCCCTCCATGTCACAGGTGCCTCATTCCAGGACCCTATTTAGCCTTGACTTGCAGAGAGTCCCAGTAAGGAAGTATTTCCCAAGTAAGTGGACTAATCTCATAAGAGCAAGCATTAGGCTGCTAGAGTAGGACCTGCCGAATATGGGGTACTTTGACGTTGTGGCAGGCTTATGCAATGTATGATCATATAATGTAACTAAACCCCCATTATTTTTTGCCTAGGTGAGGTGTTTTTGAAATCATTGTTTAGTGAATAAGCGAGTGCGCTGGATTCTGTATTTTGTATATTTTGGCCCCAGCAGCACCCTATAATGTATGCATGTTCAGGTGAGTGCAGCCCTCTTGGTTTCTTATATATATATATATATATATATACACACACACACACATATATAAAAACAGGTATATATATAATAATTCTACGTATATACTTATGTAATAATTTTACATAATTAGGTAATTTTATTAATTACAATTTGCAGGACCTGCCTGACAACCCAGGCCGAAAGTCCAGGGAATTTAATTTGCTGGCACTATATTTAACCCTATAACTTTCCAAGATGCCATAAAACCTATACATGGGGGGTACTGTTTTACTTGGAAGACTTCGCTGAACACAAATATTAGTGTTTCAAAACAGTAAAATATATCACAACTATGATATCGTCAGTGAAAGTGACATATTTTGCATTTTTCACACACAAATTGCACTTACACGGACGATATAATTGTTGTTATATGTTTTACTGTTGAAACACTAATATTTGTATTCAGCGAAGTCTCCTGAGTATTACAGTACCCCTCATGTACAGGTTTTATGTTGTTTTCAAAAGTTACAGCATCAAATATAAGGCTTGTGTTTCAGTTTTTTCACATGGAAATACGCCAGATTGGTTACGTTGCCTTTGAGACCCTATGGTTACCCAGGAATGAAAATGATGGCATAGCATTTGCAATAGTAGACAACCCAAGGTATTGCAAATGGGGTATGTCTAGTCTTTTTTCGTAGCCACTTAGTCACAAACACTGGCCAAAATTGGCGTTCAAATTAGTTTTTTGCATTTTTCACACACAAACAAGTATTAACGCTAAATTTGCCCAGTGTTTGTGACCAAGTGGCTACTAAAAAAGACTGGACATACCCCATTTGCAATACCTCAGGTTGTCTTCTTTTGCAAATGGTATGCCATCATGGGGGTAATTCTCATTCCTGGGCTACCATACGGTCTCAATGGCAACATAACCAATCTGGTGAATGTCAATGTGAAAAAACTGAAAAATGTAACGTGCTATATTTGACCCTGTAACTTCCCAAAACACCATAAAACCTGTACATAGGGGGTACTGTTTAACACGTATTTTATTACAGTAAAAGCAAACAGTATTATGACACTCACAGTTAGAATGTCACGTAGAACTAAACATTTTTTAAAAATTCTTATTTTCTCCCATTTTTTTATATTTTATTCATATTAAATTATGTCTTATACCTACATATTTGATGTTAAATGAAAGCCCTGTTTCCCCTGAATAAAATGATATATAATAAGGGTGGGTGCATTTAATATGAAAGAGGCGAATTACGCCTGAACAGACATGTAGCGCAAATGCCAGGTTTTGTTTACGTTTTGTTTTGATCACAAAGTGTACATTTGTCTCAGTCCATAAAGGGTTAAGGATTTCTATTGCATCAGCCTTGATGAAGGTCAGGCGATCAGCCCAAGTGTTGGGGGTGTTTCTGACTTGCTGGGGATTTGAGTTGAAATAAATCTATAAACAGTAAATAGCTTTGGGGCGATTGTCGGACGGTCACACATGGTTTTTTCCCTGAGGGGTTTTTCTGCTTTTACTGTATATTCCAATGTCTCCAGAAAAAGCATTCGTTAGACTGGACTTAAAGGGTTTGAAGATGTAGTGTTTGGGTGTCTTCAAAAAGAATATGAGAACCACCAATATGATAATCAGTTTGATCCCCATTAAATCATCCAGTCTTAAAAGTACAAACAAGCCAGGAATTCAAGAAAACAACTTTCATCTTGTCAGCAATCCTTGATGTTTGATGAATGTTGCAAGAATCTAGGATATGTGAGAAACCTGCCATCCTGAGCAATAGTACAAGTTCTCTCTTGTAGCAAACTCACCCCTTCAAGGGAGTTTGCCATGAGTTTTTGGAGGGGGCTGCTTGCCTGCATTCCTGCCCTGTGACTACGGCCCTGGGATGTATTGCCCTTTAAGAATGCATTTGGGCATAATGGATTTTTTTATTGTGCTGCTACTGGCCCTTTAAGCACAGCGTATGGACTTCTATTGGACTGTGAAAGGCCCTTTAAGAACTGTATGTGGGCATATTGAGACTTTTTGGGACAATGCCCCTTTAAGACGGTGTCCCCAGTGTCCCCAAACATTTAATATACGATGTTCCTGGCTTTCTCCCACTTGGTTCAGTAAATGGGGCTTACTGAACCAAGTATTACACAGGCGGACCACCTAGAAGTGGAAGTGTGCAGGCAATTTACCTCCCAGGCTGGGAGCCTGCTGTAGGTAAATTGCCGACCGCTGGGTGGCCGCCATTCGTACAAACGAACACGTGGCGGCGGCCATCTTTATTCTGCCGAAAGCGGTCAGCGGTGTTTGTAGCCAAATCTACGGAGCTGAAATCGGCTACACATTTCAACGAACACCGCTGACCTTTACCTTCTCCTCCACTCAGTTTGCAGCCGCAGAGACTAAGTCCCGTTCTGCGATGGGACTTAGTCATTTTTCTGCCTGAAATTGTCCGATCTGACAAGGAGAGAGGTGAAAAACCAGACTATATAGGTGCTAAAACAAGGACCAGGTGAAGTGCTAATGAAAAGAAATTAGGAACAGTGCCAAACAGTGATAGTGGTGAGTGTGGGTACTGCACGAGGGCAAATCAACTAAGGAGTGTCGTGACCAGGGCTCGAGTCCTGCAGGAACGCATGGGAACGGCGTTCCTGCACTTTTTCCACAGCAGGAACGCCGTTCCCGTTACCTGTCCTGCAGGACCGGCCCTGCTACCTGCACTGAGGGGCCAGCACACGCTGTGTTCCCTCTCCAGCTATAACTCTCGCGAGACCCGCGGCTGTTACCATGGCAACGCTCCGCACAGGCGAGTCTCGCGAGAGTTAGAGCTGGAGAGGGAACACAGCGTGTGATGGCCCCTCTGTGCAGCGGCTGGTTCCCTCCACCGGACCACCAGGCGATCTCCCCCCTCCCTGACAAGGTAAGAAGCAGGGAGGGGGGAATAAAATAAACACATAAAGTTAAAAAAAATGCTCCCCCCCCCACACATCATCCAGCACTCACACACCCATCATCCAGCACTCACACACCCATCATCCAGCACTCACACACACACATCATCCAGCACTCTCACACACATCATCCAGCACTCACTCACACATCATCCAGCACTCACACACACATCATCCAGCACTCACACAAACACCCATCATCCAGCACACACACCCATCATCCAGCACTCACACACCCATCATCCAGCACTCACACACACATCATCCAGCACACACACACACATCATCCAGCACTCACACACACGTCATCCAGCGTGCACACACACATCATCCAGAACACGCTGCATTCATTATACACACTCTTCACTCACTACAAACACACTACATTCACTATACACACTCTGCATTCATTATACACATTCTGCACTCACTACACACTCCATTCACTATACACACTCTGCATTCACTACAAACACACTACACACACTGCATTCATTGTACACACTCTGCACTCACTACAAACACACTAAATTCATTATACACAATTTGCACTTACTACAAACACACTACATTCATTATACACACTCTGCACTCACTACAAACACACTACATTCACTATACACACTCTGCACTCACTAAAAAAACACTACATTCACTATACACACTGCACTCACTACAAACACACTACATTTATTATACACACTGCACTCACTACAAATACACTACATTTGTTATACACACTGCACTCACTACAAATACACTACATTCATTATACACACTGCACTCACTAAAACACACTGCATTCATTATACACACTCTGCACTCACTACAAATACACTACAATTATTATTCACACTGCACTCACTGCAAACACACTACATTTATTATTCATACTCTGCATTCACTACAAACACACTACCTTCATTATACACACCCTGCACTGCACTATATGCATAGGAGTGTAATTTAAAAAAAAAATTTTTTAAGGGGGTGGGGGGGGAGGCGGGAATCTTGGGTGAGTTCCCACACCTTTTTCCCCAGGACTTGACCCCTGGTCGTGACAGTCACATAGTCGATGTGGGAGTGTGTGTTAGACAGTCGATGTGTGGGTGTGTTAGACAGTCGATGTGGGAGTGTGTGTTAGGCAGTCGATGTGTGGATGTGTTAGACAGTCGATGTGGGAGTGTGTGTTAGACAGTCGATGTGTGAGGGGGTGTTAGACAGTCTGTGTGAGGGTGTGTTAGACAGTCGATGTGTGAGGGTGCATTAGACAGTCTGTGTTAGGATGTGTTAGTCAGTCAATGTACAAGGTATCTTAGACAGTCTGTGTGAGGGTGTGTTAGACAGTCGTTGTGTTAAGGTACGTATTTCAGAGGATGGATCGTAGTATGAGGGTATTTTTAAGGATAGATCGTAGTATGAGGGTATTTCAGAAGATGGATAGTAGTATGAGGGTATTTTAGAGGATGGATCATAATATGAGAGTATTTTAGAGGATGAATCGTAGTGTGAGGGTATTTCAGAGGATGGATTGTAGTATAAGGGTATTTCAGAGGATGGATCGTAGTGTGAGGGTATTTCAGAGGATGGATAGTAGTATGAGGGTATTTTAGAGGATGGATCGTAATATGAGAGTATTTTAGAGGATGATTCGTAGTATGAGGGTATTTTAGAGGATGAATCGTAGTATGAGGGTATTTTAGAGGATGAATCGTAGTATGAGGGTATTTCAGAGGATGGATCGTAGTGTGAGGGTATTTCAGAGGATGGATTGTAGTGTGAGGGTATTTTAGAGGATGGATCATAGTATGAGGGTATTTCAGAGGATGGATCATAGTGTGGGGGTATTTTAGAGGATGGATCGTAGTGTGAGGTTGTTTCAGAGGATGGATCGTAGTGTGAGGGTATTTAGTGGGTAGGTCCCTGCTGTTTCTTCCGATGTTCTTTGTCCGGCCTGCCTGCCCGTCACAACGGAGGTCTGCGTACAGAGTAAAAATGTGGCTGAATCCATTAGGGTCCGTTGGATTTTCTTTGGTGGTGTCCGGATCCGGGGCAATGAGGAGTAACGTTTTTTCTGTGGCTGCATTGCGAGGCTTGGCTTAAGGCTGGGTATGTGGAAAGTTTGCAGCTCTCTACGACATGGCTCTGTTGCCTGGTTCCGTCATGTGTGTTTGCGTGCAGATGGGAGAAGGCATCAAGTATGGCATTTAGCCTGGTCAGAGATTCATGCTTCTCTTCGCAGTGATCTGATGTGCACGTGGCGTCCGCCATTGTGCAGGCCTCTGTATCTGGATGCCGTTCTTGCAGACACGCAGCCTGTATCGGCCGTGACCGGGCTGCCTCAGGGGGGTGGACCGGGATCACCCCCACCAGTCCTAAAGGGGGGGCAGATAGTCAGTGGCTCTGTATCCCCGGCGTAGGGGCAAGGAAAGCGGCCGTCTCTCCCCAACCCCATCCACGCGGGCTGCAGAGTGCCAACTTGGGTTCACGGTCGTGGAAGGCACCCATGTCTGGTAGTAGGTGGTTCGCAAGGGTGCCCCGATCTTAGGTACCGTACCCCGGCATGTATTCAGGCTTTGGTTTATTTTATACCGCCATATAATTAACATGTGTGGCAGGAGCCCCTCCAACAGGCGACCGCTAAAGAGGGTGTCTTAATATTTATATTACTACATTTTTGGATTTTGTTGTTCAAAAGGGATTCTCTAAGCACAAAAACAACTTTAGATTAAAAAAGCAGTTTTAGTACATAGTTCATTCTCCTGAAGCCCATGGAGCAACGCAGGGGGGGAGTGGGCCTTGACAGGGCCAGAGAGTTGGCAGGTGAAGTTAAGGTCAAGGGGTGTGGAAAAGTAATGTCTGGACAGGGGGGGAGGAGAATAAGGGTTTAAATAACAGCCATTTTGGTGAACTGGCCTTTTTAATCAAAATCACACTTACTTGATACTTGTCCCTCCCACCCTCCCTTTGTTTTAGGTTGTCTTGTTTGGTAAGGTAGTTTCCCGTTTGGTCACAGCGGCGGGAATAGGGCCTGGATTAAAGAGGATTTAGGTGGAATAGGAAGTGGGCAGGCCAAGGTCTAGGCTGGACTATGCCGGAGTGGAAAATGGTTTGTAGGTTCTAGCTCGTTGGTGGCTACGAATCTGGGGGTGTAGGGGTGTCTGGGTACACCCCTACAGTTAAACATATGGTTATGGGGCCTCTTTGGTAGGCCATGGGTTAAACGTTATGTATTATTGGAATGTTTTATTAATGTTATTTGGTAGGGTCATTGTCGGGGGTATTGGGCAAGAAGGTCGGACATAATTAATACTTGTGACAATGACCCTAAATTGTTAAATTGTTGAATTAAAATTTTTAATAAAGCTGTGGACTTTATACTCCAACAGAAATGGTGTCACAGAGTTATTTTATTAAGGTTTTAGCACATGCCGAATAACGACTGTGCACATGTCATGCAGTCTCACTGCTCAATTCTATGCCATTTAGGAGTTAAACCACTTTTGTTTCTGTTTCTGCAGCCCTAGCCACACCTCCCCTGGCTGTGACTGACAGCCTGCATGAAAACAAAATTGTTGCATGTTTAATTAGATCACTGGGATTACAGTGTGTTTGCTTTAGAAGTTCTTATCACCTGATTTGTAACTTGCACTTTAATTACACACATGATGCTCCTGTAGGCTTTAGCAGGCTATTACAGGGCAGGAGATAAGAAATTATAATTTAATCAGACTGAGTAGTAAATGTAGTTTAAACATTAGTTCTCTCTTTACAGGAAGTGATTAGGAAGCCTGTGCAAGTCACATGCAGGGGTGTGTGAATAGAGCTGGATAATTAAAGTTATTTAACTCCTAAATGGCAGAGAATTGAGCAGTGAGAATGCATGGGGTGATCTATTCACTAAAACTGCTTCATTAAGCTAAAGTTGTTTTGGTGACTTTAAGGCAGGGGTACTCAAACTCCAGCCCCCCAGATGTTGCTGAACTACAACTCCCATGATTCTTTGAATTACATAGATAGCCAGAGAATCATGGGAGTTGTAGTTCATCAACATCTGGGGGGCCAGAGTTTGAGTACCCCTGCTTTAAGGGCTCAGACCCCTTGTTGTGAGGGAAGGGTTAAGAAATTCTATCAGGTTCCCAACAGAGTGACAGAGGGAAACAAGCCATGCCAGGTCTAACAGCAAGCAGCGAAATCATTTAACAAAGGTCAATACACCAGGACACTAATATAGTCATAAAGTCTCATAGTCACCTAGGTGGAAAAAAAGTCCATCAAGTTCAACTGTCCACAAATCTATTCCTGTGCTTGATCCATAAAATGCAGAAAAAACCCTGGTTTGAAGTATTTTCAATTTTGCCACAATCAGGGACAATATTCCTCATGATTCCAAAATGCCATTCAGCTATCTCCTTGGATCAGCACACTGTTACCACCTCCTTTAATTATTGAACCCCTTAAAGGATCACTATAGTGTTAAAACCACCATCTAGCCCCCCTGGGCCCCTCATCCCTCCATAAATATACCAAAATCTTACTGTATTCAAGCCTAAAGCTGTAACTCTGCATGCTTTTAGACTCAGAAAAACAAGCAGTCTGCTGACATCATCAGAAGTGGTAACCTGATCCAATCACAGTGCTTCCCCATAGGATTGGCTGAGACTGACAAGGAGGCAGATCAGGGGCAGAGCCAGCACAATTCAAACACAGCCCTGGCCAATCAGCATCTCCTCACAGAGATGAATTGAATCAATGAATCTCGATGAGGAAAGTTCAGTGTCTGCAAGCAGAGGGAGGAGACACTGAATTTTTGGATGCATTTTAGGCAGCTATGACCCAGGAAGGATCCCTAACAGCCATCTGAGGAGTGGCCAGTGAAGTTATCACTAGGCTGTAATGTAAACACTGCATTTTCTCTGAAAAGACAGTGTTTACACCAAAAACCCTGAAGGTAATGATTCTACTCACCAGAACAAATTCAATAAGCTGTAGTTGTTCTGGTGACTATAGTGTCCCTTTAATATTGTGTTCCCTCCCCCCCCTTTCTCCCCCCTCCTCCCACCAAAATGGTATTCATCATTAGAAAATTCAGATTACTCTCAGATACTAGGCTAAGGGAGTAATGGGCGTTAGAGAGGTAGAATAGAAATAGTCTGTGAATAAGGAACCCTTGGGTGTATTCAGCATGAGCCAATGTGACATGCCAAATGCCATGCATCAATATTGTTATCATGGCTGTGTTATACTATTATGTCAGGGGCCAGGTCACGTTCTGGAGTTTGGGAACGTAACATTGGCTCCTGACAAATTCTAATTAATAGGTCACTGTGCTCTAAACATACAGCCAGCTCCCGCCATCATAGATATGTACAGACACATTACAGCAGGATTTATTACATTTATTTACATTTATTTGTAAAAGCCCAGGAGCTGTCTATAGATATTTAATAATTGTACCAATTTGAACTTTAAATAATAAATCAACTTTAGTTTTATGAGACCTCAGAGACGGCAAGGTTGGCTCTCCAGCGGTATAACGCGGGTATGATTTCCCAGCTTGGCACATGGTTTACTAATAAGTAGTTCACAAGAGGAATCTGCCAGAGAAGGCACAAATCAACATAAATATAACTAATGTCGTTCCTAGGCATGGCACGTTAATTAGGAACCTGCATCTTATTTCGTACGCGGAGATTATCCTTTATTGAAGTTTATGTTCTGAATAATGACATTTATTAGACTAGTCAGTGTACCCATAAATGTGTCACCTGAGACATGCCTGAAGATAGAGGCTATACAAAATAATGTTATTTTTTTCTTTTTGTTTAAAATGAGATCTTGCTAAAACAGATTAGCAGACTGCATCAGCCGATATTATTTATCTATGTTTATTGTTCATGCATGATAACCAAAAGGTTTTTGTACATATCATTTTACATTTATGTATCAGTCCACGTTCACCTTAAAAAGAAGACATTTCTAGAAATATAATATACATGTAAAAGATATGGAGCCTATCAAGGATGTCAGATGGTGGACTGCCATTAGTTTACAGTTATCTGTGCATTTTCTGTTCAGTAACTGATTCTGATTGGATAAAATATCAAACAGACAAAAGTATCAAGGCTTAAATTTCCGAAAGCCATCCTCGACCCTCCTTCTTAATGTTTTACACTAATTTTTCACCACTACAAAATATATAGAAGTTTTATTACTAAATCAAAATAATAATAATGTGTTTTTTTAGTTTTTTTCTATCTGCAATTTTCATAACTTATTTTCTTTAATAATTCTTTCAATGGGAAAAGAAAAGTAACAAGTATACCCACTTAACCCTGTACAGAAATGTTAATTAAAGTATAAACCTGGGAATTTTATAAAAGGTGACAATGTATTGATTGCTCAATCACTAAGAACATTTATAGTTTTCATCAACTGTAATGATGACTTTTAATGAATGAATTATCTTACCTCATTCCCCGTGTGGACCTGTTCTTGAAGTTCTGCAGAAGCTGAGGAATGCCGAGTGTGGCTTCTGTTAGGAGAGCAACTAGCCCAATTCCTTCCACGTATGCTGGGATATCCAGGAAAAGATATGTCAAGAGGGCACCGGAGATGGTCAGAGAGAAGCAGAACTGGACATAGTCTTCAAATCTGCTCCACTTCCAAAAGTAGTCAAGTTCAAAATCTGTCAAAATAATTTACATTTCAATGGAATTCTTGGCAGTGTTGGCATCACGGTGACCCTGAGATCCACGTCTAGAGTCATTGCAGGAGATATTACAGATATTATTTTTGTGAAAATAATAATTTGTATCTCTCTATGTGAAAGTGTGAAAGAGAAGTGAGCAGGATACTTTAGATAAATGTCTCATCTCATAAAGTATTGATATGGTTAAATAAGAGCATTGCTGCAATATCTACATATATAAACCTACTCATTCCTCCCTGTGGTAGGTAGCTCAGCAGGTAAGTATTTGATGCAACCATAACAATGTTTGTTAGAACTACTTAAGAATGGCTGCACTTGTCCTACAGATATCGCACACGGAACGGATTCCTGGCGGTTCTGATGTTTACATTCTGGACAGATAAAAGTTTCTTCCATAATTTTGCTACCCAAAGGAGCAGAGGAGATTTGCAGAGAAATTTGATGAAGGCCTCCCTTGACGTAAAGTGATTAAACTGAAGGATTTCGTACAGGTAGAAAAGCAACTTTTTGCCAATTAAAATTGATTTGTGAGAATTATCATTGAAAACAAAAAGACGAAAAAAGTAAGAGTAAGAAATAAATAGTTTGTATAAAGAAACCCAAGTCATACTATTATACAGCTCTGATATAACTAACAGCACAGATTAACACTTACCCGAAGCTATCTGCTAGGGGAACGAGGCCCAGCTCTACATTTTATCATTTTACCAACATTGCATTAACGCACTCATAGTTTTAATTTCATATCCTTTAGGAGCTGCAAATATGGGAGTGTTGTGTTGAAATTTGAGGACACCTCCCGTGGTTCCTTGATTCATATTAGCATACCTCCCAGCTAATAGGAAGAGTTTGGCCAACTTTGGGACCTGTGTATCTATGGCCCAGAGAAATTCACTAGTTTCGAGTCCAAGGGCTTGCTTGTGTGTGTGTGTGCCTGCTACTGAGTGAGCTTGTGTTTTTATGTCAATGACCTTATGTATATCAGTGAGATTGTTTGTCTATGAGGCTGTGTATCAATCATCTTGTGTCACAGTATGCTTACTGTATAATTAAACGTTTTACTCTGAAAGGACCAATATTTTATATTGGAGAAAGATATATCTATATCTCAATCAACTAGGGTGGCAAGACATAGCCTTACATATAACATGCGACAATATATGGCGCAATGACTTATGGGGCTGGCATACATTTTTTTTCCAGGGCTGCTTTGGAATTCCCAGTCCGGCCCTGGCTGGGGAAGAAAGGGAGGCCTTGCAAAAGCTGCAGACAAGAAATGAATTGGGCATGCCAAACATACTGCATATTAGTGAGGCCAAAATCAATAAAAACTATAAATCCTTTAAAGGAATACACCAACACCAACGCTGTCCTTAGGGACAAATGTAAACAGAGCATTTTCATAGAAATGTCAGTGTTTACAGATCGAGGGTATGGTGACAGACTCTTTAACCCCTTAAGGACCAAAGTTCTGGAATGAAAGGGAATCATGACATGTCACACATGTCATGTGTACTTAAGGGGTTAAACCACTCGGTACCACGTAGTATTTACGGTGCTTAGAATGTCTCTCTAGGGCCCAAACAGGCTAAAATTGAAGATGTCGCCAAGGGGTTAAAGAGTTATTATTGTCAATATAATTATTCCTACAAGCAAGCTGTAGTAGTCTAGTGCCATCAGATGGGTTGCACCGTCTGTGCCAAAGTGCTCTATATCGATCGAAGTAAGCCTATAATTAGTAGGGTTCCCAAGTTGCCCCCAAGCTGTGAATATTGTTTGCCAACTAACATGTATATAAATTGTTATAGATTATTTAGAAAGTGACACTCTGCTTGCCACATTGTGCAATAAGGAGACCAGGCTCCTCTCCAGAATATAAAGTATATAACCGAAATAGAGAGATGTCAACAAAGGACTGAGTATCCAAAGAAACAATGCCACAGCCTCCAACATTCTAAATGACTAAGGAAGACTAGGGTGTGGGCAGGGGGTAGGCTGCAAGGGGGCATAACATAGTTAATTAGTATGTTAACAAAGGCAGTATGCAAACATTACTCAATCATACACGACATTTAAAGGACCACTATAGTGCCAGGAAAACATACTAGTTTTCCTGGCACTATAGTGCCCTGAGGGTGCCCCCACCCTCAGGGTCCCCCTCCCGCCCGGCTCTGGAAGGGGAAAAGGGGTTAAACTTACCTTTTTCCAGCGCTGGGCGGGGAGCTCTCCTCCTCCGATCCTCCTCCGGGCTGAATGCGCAGCGCAAGAGCTTCGCGCGCATTCAGCCGGTCATAAAGCCCATGAACGCTAGCGCTTCTCACTGTGAAAATCACAGTGAGAAACGCAAGCCTGGCTGTCAATGAGACAGCCACTAGAGGAAATAGGGGAAGGCTTAACCCATTCATAAACATAGCAGTTTCTCTGAAACTGCTATGTTTATTAAAAAATGGGTTAACCCTAGCTGGACCAGGCACCCAGACCACTTCATTAAGCTGAAGTGGTCTGGGTGCCTAGAGTGGTCCTTTAACTTTATTAGCAAAGCAAACTGAAATGAAATAGCTTTTTTTCAGATAACTGCCTAAATGTTAAATTGAACATGAAAGAATGAGGTATAGCTAAGCATATATAACCATACAGTCAATTTACATTCTCTTCATTCTATTCGAACAGAAACTAAGCAGCTTAGATGGATCCCGTGCTCTCTGCGCCTAGAGGGGTATCAGCTACACCTCGCTGACGAGGCCCAAAGAAGGCTTAAACACTTGTCTGGGGTTGCTTTATCTCTTGTGCAGAGAGAACTTGCTGCCATTTTGGTTCTGGACTGCCATTATGGGTGGGATTAGTCTGATATGCCTTGGAACTGGTTCTCTCTGTAATGGCACAAGTGAGCAAAACTATTTTGAGACGTGAGCTGGGATTTACGGAAGGGCAAGCTACTGAATTCCTCTAAGCTTTTGTCCGTTCTCAGAGTATTCATATTCCTTGTTTAAGGTGATACAAAAGTGCAGGTAGGGACTACCAGAATTGGGCAAGTGGAGGGCCAGTAGTAGGGGTTGTGTGCGTGGGTCCAGCTCTTGGTGGAGCTAAGACCCCATGACCTACTAATTGCTAATGATAAAGACCAAAGTATTCCTTCATTTCTAAAGACTTTTATTCTAGAAAAGAAGGACATTAAGATAGAAAAGAGGCACGTCGTGGGTTTTCTCAAAATTAGGACTATCCCTCCAAAACAAGGCCACTTGGGAACCTTTGTTATTGCCCCTTAAAAGTGGCAGCGCCCTGCAGCATCAGCAGATTACTTAGATCTTGATATCCATTTCAGAGATTACTTAGCCTGAGCCAGTTGGGATTCAATATATTCAGAAGGTTTAAGACAGAGCTAGGGGTATTTGATGTATAATCTATTACTGTGAGGTATGATACAAAGTATATATGCTTAGTAAATATTAATCTCTTCAGCTTGGCAAATTAAATTATAGATGTAAAGTTCCAGTATAAGAATAACATTAAAACATTCTATTAGCTATACTGAATACTCTCCGAAAACCGAATCTGATCTGAATAATTTTATTACAGTTTGGTCCATGCAATGATTTTTCAGCTGTTATCTAACTGAAGATAATGAATTGCTAACAAATTAATGGGCCCTTTAAACACCATAACTACTACAGGTCATCAAGATCTTTATGGGTTTTTTAAACTCCACTCCCCCCAGTTTGTTTCAAATATTTTGAAATGGGTTCAAAAGAAAAAGAGCTGGCTTGTTTACTGTATGGCGCATGTGGAAGGGAATTCTACATTACTGTTTAATTTGGGTGGTAACAATAGGCTGAACGAATGGAGGCTAGCCTACTGCCAGTACCAACGTTTACTTTTACATTATATGAACATCAGCTGTGTTCTGATTGGCTAACAACAGTATACGGTTATACGTGCCATTCTCAGCGGGCATTCCTGTGGGATACGTGGCACAATGAATTCTATTTCAATGAAACAATTCATGTTGTGGATAACTCAAGATAGGTGAGAACAAAAAGGAGTCTTTTAAACATGGTGCACCTGTGTGCCTACTGGGCTGATACATGCGCAGAGTGCTATAAAGCTCTCGTGTTTGAAAAATAGTCTCCTGAAATCAGTCACTAATGTATTTAATTATGTAAATACACTGTTCCTTTTGGTTACTTCCTCTCATGACAACTCTGAAAAAGCGAGGATGGACCCCAAATCAGGACTTTCCACCACAACCAGGACTGGTGGGAGATGTCCACGATTACAGCACTACGGAATCTGATGGCACTAGATAAATAATAAAAGAATAGTAATAATAATGGTTGCAAGCTGACATGGGCTATTACCACTAACCTCCTCCAGTCCCCTGTGTGTTCCTGGTAGGAGCACCTACTGGGCACAATGTTCAGAAATCTCGATTAAGCTTTGAATGATTATCCTGGACTCCCGTAATTGCCGCGGTATATATCTGTCTTGAAATAGATATGTAAGCCGCTGTGTGTACAACGAGCTTCACAAGAATCTTTATTTTCCACATGTTCCATTCATTCTACCTCGTTACTCAACAGTTAATGGCTTTTACATTGACAAATCAATTCATTTTATCTTCAGTGGAATGAAAAGTAATCCGTGTAAAGCAACGTCTGATTTAAGCTTTCTAACAAATATTAATCCGGGTCACTGGGAACCACTTTGTGATATTTCCAGTAGAAACACATTCAGTTAAATTCTGTAATGGAAGTAAGCCAGCCTAAGGCATATTACAGATTAGAACTGGAAGCCATGACAGGTTAACAAAATGCGCATTAAAACATTGACGCTTTCTGTTTATATATAGAAAGGCGCGTTTTATAATCCATATACATGAACAAGGATTAGTGACAGGAGATTAATTGGTCCCTGATTGTGCGATGGGCTCTTTAAAGGTATTTAGAACAATCTATAATATTGTTTTTCACATAATATTTTAGTGCAGTTGTTTACTCTCTCAGTGAATAGAGGAACAGTGTAATCCGGACCTTTAAATCGTTTACTGAACTCAGTTTACTTAAAGGAACACTATAGACACCAGAACAACTACAGTTTATTGAATTTGTGCTGGTGAGTAGAATCATTACCTTCAGGCTTTTTGCTGTAAACACTGTCTTTTCAGAGAAAATGCAGTGTTTACATTACAGCCTAGTGATAACTTCACTGGCCACTCCTCAGATGGCTGTTAGAGATCCTTCCTGGGTCATGGCTGCCTAAAATGCATCCAAACATTCAGTGTCTCCTCCCTCTGCATGCAGACACTGAACTTTCCTCATAGAGATTCATTGATTCCATTCATCTCTATGATTGGCCAGGGCTGTGTTTGACTTGTGCTGGCTCTGCCCCTGATCTGCCTCCTTGTCCATCTCAGCCAATCCTATGGGGAAGCATTGTGATTGGATCAGGCTACCACTTCTGCCGATGTCAGCAGACTGCTTGTTTTTCTGAGGCAGACAGGGCAGAGCCAGCAGCTTCCGGCTTGAATACAGTAAGATTTTTATTCTATTTATAGAGGCATGAGGGGCCCAGAGGGGCTAGATGGTGGTTTTAACACTATAGGGTCAGGAATACATGTTTGTGTCCCTGACCCTATAGTGATGCTTTAACCAGGAACTGAGGAAAACTGCAAATGAATGAACAACCATTTTAGCAGTCTGAATTCCACTGGGTTGAGATACTCTACTCAACCAGTAACTGGAAACTACTAACGTAAAGAGAAAATCTCAAGATTCCATTTTCTGTTTTCTAGCATATTCGCACACTAATCACCATAGGCTAGATTCTGTTAGATGAGATACGTTTATCCTTTGCCACTGCTTAGCATTTTCCCATCGATGTCAACAGGAGACCTGTTATTCAATAACTCCAAATAATTTTTATCTCTAGTAAAATTATCTATATGTATTTATATGATTTATATAATTATATTTTATATGGTTTAGATATTATATTTTATATGGTTTATATGTATTGACCCACCTTTCCTCGTTTTATTATGCTACAGCCTGGAATTAAACTGGATTTTATTGAGATAATTTTTTTTTTACAATAAAAATGTCATTATTTTCCAGTACCATGTTCAAAGAGCTATGTGTAAGTACTTCGGAAAACGCATACGATGCATAAAGTCTCAAGCAGGACACTGCAAAAAATAAACGATAATGTAATGAGGTGGATGGGAGATCATGGAAAATGGGAGAAGATAAATGAGACATAGTAAAGAGGAACAGGACAAGGTATGTAACAAAGAGGGTTGGCAATCTGGAGGGCACAGGAAATAAAGGGACGTATTCCAGGACATGACTAACAGGTAGAGTAAGATTGCTACCATACCGGTGAGCATTTGCGGGTATTCAGAGTGTTCTAAAGAGCAGTCTGTTTCCATAGGTGGTTTTTTAAGAATCAGTATTACCCACGAGAGGCTAGCGTCTAACTGATACTTACAGCAAATTCTACCTAGAATGACTGTCAGCAATATATGGCAGGTCACTTTCTGATGATGTGACATTCAGTTGACGTGAAGGAGTGTCACCTTTGGGAGAGGTAAATCCATACTCGTTACTGTTCATGTTAACACATTTAGCACATTTTTCCACAGTAATTGGACAGGGCGAGCGATGATGTAATAACGTGGCCTCCTGACCTCCACCAGCAGAGGTCCCTGGGTACCAGAAGTATGCATGCGAGTCAGGTGAGGGTTACATAATTATCTTATAAAACATTTCTAACTAGTTTATATTGTGGGTTTATGTCCCAAGAAACAAAATGTTTAAGATCAGCATACAGATACATTTGTGAGGGGCTCTTAATGTATTTAGGTTCTCATAACAGGTCGTGATTTCCCTATGAGCTAGGCCTACAGCACGCTTATGACTTAAAAGACTTTATTGAGATTTTGACCATGTGATTTGCCCAACATACCTAACATAGTCAAGGTGCAAAAACTTCTTACGGTGACACTAAAGTTAATTAAATCCAAAAATTGACTGGACCCCTAATGAAGGCAAAAAAACAAAGGGCCATTGTATGTCCATTTGAAATTTTTGGACTTTTTTTTATCGCAAGAGAACACCAGATACTTTATTCCAGATACTTTATTCCTCCATATAAAACACGTCAGCAGTTAACTATATTGTGCAGTATGTGTGCCTGTGATTTGTGCACAGAAATTTGAAATATTTTTTTCAAAGGTTAGCCGAAGCCCCACAAAGAATATTCCGAATTTTGGGTAGCTGAGATTTGCCTGCAGGCTGATTTAGGTAAAGAAAACCTGGTGTTTTGTATTTCCATATTCCTAGCTAATCATGGCAGCATCACTTATGGGTTAGCTCCGCCCCAATCAGGTACAGGACAGGAAAAATCAATTAATCTGCACCCGACTGGGGTATAAAAGGTCCCTCCTCCTTCCATCCCACAGTCTTTTTTCCTGTCCTTTCAGGACAAACAGGATAAAATATTTTTTTTTTGGGCCACCTTCCCATGTGTACCATGGGCCTCCAGATGAAGTTCAGCCTCTCTTCATCTGAAGAACTCAGTAAACAGCCTGCACAGATTATTATCTGTACCATAGTGTGGGAGAAATTTTATATATATATATATATATATATATATATATTTGATGTGGGGTCAGCTGTAGCTTTAAAAAATTCCCCTGCTAAAAACATCAAAACCCCCCTGATCAGAAGGCAGAGTATTGTGGAGAAGCCAGGGTAAGTCTTTATTTGTTATTCATATTATGCTTTAGGATCTCTTGTTTAATCTTACCTGGGCTGTATAATCTTTGTTGTAAGTCACAGACTGCAGAAGTTTCTTCATGAGATCCTAGGCTCTTCTGTGCTCGGTTTACAGAAATGAAATTGGGGGCATGGTTCTTGAAAAGGAGAGACTTCTAGCTCAAGGCATCTCTGAGCCTGTGGTTAATACCCTCCTTAAATCCAGAAAAGGGTCAACTTCTTCTTGCTACCATAAGATATGGGAGGTGTTTCGTTCCTGGTCTCAAGCTAACAATGTTAATTTTCTGCAGCCCTCTAACATCAACATTCTAAATTTTCTTCATACAGGCCTGGAGAAAGGGCTGAGCCTTAGTACTCTGAAAGTCCAATCATCAGCTTTATCGGCTCTCTGCAACAAGTCATGGGCATCTGATCCTATTATTGCCAGATTCTTTAAAGCAACCATTCGTATAAGACCTCCGAAAAGGAATTATTCTCCGCCTTGGAATTTACCGATGGTATTAGAGGTTTTGTCTGAAAACCCCTTTGCTCCTTTAGATGAGCTGGGTATTGTCTTACTTACATATAAGACCTTGTTTCTGGTGGCTATAACTACAGCAAAACGCATGTCAGAAATCCATGCATTCTCATGTGATGAAAACCATTTTCAGGTATTCCACGACAGGGTGGTTTTAAGACCTAAACAAGAGTTTCTGCCTAAAGTAGCCTCGAATTTCCACATTCTACAGGAAGTTGTTATTCCTTCCTTTTATCCATCTCCTTCTTCTCCAGAGGAAGTGAAACTTCATCAGTTGGACGTCAGACAGTGTCTACTCAAATACGTTGAAGTTTCAAATCAAACAGCTGTTCGTTCTTCCGATAGGTCCCAGGAGAGGGGAAGCAGCCTCTACCTCCACCTTGAGACGCTGGATCTCCAATACTATAATCAAGGCTTATCAATTAAAAGACCTTACTCCTCCTAGTAAGATCAACTCTCACTCTACAAGGGCTTTGGCAACATCATGGGCAAATTGGGCAGAAGTTCCAGCTGACGACATCTGTAAGGCAGCTACATGGTCTTCACCTCTTACGTTCATCAAGCACTACAAACTGGATTTGGCATCATCCTCTACGGCCTTTGGTAGAGGTGTTCTATCCTCTGTTGAATCTATCTAATTAAACTTATATCAGCATTATCTGGTTTAGAGTAAAAAAATTTTTAGGTTTTCCCACCCTATGGTGAAGCTTGGGTATTACCCATAAGTGATGCTGCCATGATTAGCCAGGAATACAGAAAATGTTATCATATTTACCGTAATTTTCTTTTCCTGGCTATTATTCATGGCAGCATCAGCAACCCTCCCTTGAGATTTTATGAAGCTTTGGAACTCGACTGTGGGATAGAAGGAGGAAGGACCTTTTATACCCCAGTCGGGTCCAGATTAATTGATTTTTCCTGTCCTGTACCTGATTGGGGCGGAGCTAACCCATAAGTGATGCTGCCATGAATAATAGCCAGGAAAAGAAAATTACGGTAAGTATGATAAAATTTTCTGTATTGTTTCGTAAGAATAGGAATAGCTGTCTCTTTTTCTAGGATAATCCCTAAATGATTGGATGTTAACCTTTCGAGTGCCTTTGTTATCTATTGGATTATAACTGGATAACCTGATACAATAATTCATTGAAAACCTGAATGCGACAAAATTACCTCAGAATTTAAGCAAATTACAAATGAATTGGGGACCAAATGCTCATTTCTCAAATGATTACAGAACTAGCTCTGAATTTTATTGGGATGTCGACTAAATGTCGTCCACTGAAAACTGAATTGCAAAAATGTAGCCCAAATCAGCCATGTTGGTAAAATAGTTAACATATTATGGGCTTTTAAAAAAATATAAAACTTTTTCCTCTCTAGTTCAAAAAGACCTAAAGCCCTGGGGTGATGCATCGTATGACTGGAAAGAGTTTCTCGAACTTGTTTTGTTAACCTTTGTATAATCTAAATGAAACTGTTTGTCTATGAAACATTATTCAATTCATTGCGTTATCATTATGAGAAAACTAGGTCAGACAAGCTCAGCTCGCAGCCAGTCATGGCAATTTAGCAAGATATTCAATACATGACTTCCAATTCGGAAATCGGAGTAATTCCACATGACGTTACCCCATCACAGTGATAACTATCGAGATCCCGGCATTGAAACAAGTCAAACCACTACTTTTCAAGAACATGCTATAGAAATAGAAAAAAAAATAAGAGAAAAGCAAATTAAATCACATTTTGTTTTATTTTAGTTATTGTATAAAGCAGTGGTTCCAAAACTTTTTAGGTTCAAGGCGCCCTTAATATTTCAATATTTTTCCAAGGCGCCCCAAGTCAAAACAATTCTAGGTTGTATATATACACAGCGCTGCAGCATATACTGGGCCCCTAATCTTGGGAGTGGCACTGGTAGATTATTTAAAGAAACAATGCAGGCACAATAACCACTACATTATGTTGTAGTGGCTATGGTGCCAGTAGTGCCATAGTGCCCCCCTCGGGATAGGGGCTGTAGTGTGTGTGTGTGTGTGTGTGTGTGGGGTGCAATATGTGTGTGTGTGAGGGGTGCATTGTGTGTACAGGGGTGCAGTGTGCATGTGTGTGTGAGGAGTGCAGTGTGTGTACAGGGTGCAGTGTGTGTGTGTGTCTGTGTGAGGGGTGCAATATGTGTGTGTGTGAGGGGTGCATTGTGTGTACAGGGGTGCAGTGTGCATGTGTGTGTGAGGAGTGCAGTGTGTGTACAGGGTGCAGTGTGTGTGTGTGTCTGTGTGAGGGGTGCAATATGTGTGTGTGTGAGGGGTGCATTGTGTGTACAGGGGTGCAGTGTGCGTGAGGAATGCAGTGTGTGTACAGGGTGCAGTGTGTGTGTACAGGGTGCAGTGTGCGTGTGTGTGTGTGTGTGTGTGTGAGAGGTGCAGTGTGTGTACAGGGGTGCATTGTGTTTGTGAAGGATGTAGTTTGTGTGTGTGGGAGGGAGGGGAGGGGGCAGTCTGTGTGTTAGAGATGCAGCAATGTCTCTACCAAGGCTAGGATGGTTTGTTGCTATAGGGGGGTTAGGGCAGTTAGTGCATGAGGTTAGGGCAGTTAGTGCATGAGGAGTACAGTGTGTGTGTGAGGGCTACAGTGTGTGTGGGGGGGCAGGTTGTACATGTGGGAGAACATATTGTTATTGATCAGAGATTGGTACATGTGATATAACATGTGAATAGTGTGCTGTCCCTCACAATTCTCCCTTAAAGGCCGAGTTGCCTCACTCACAAACTGTACATTACCATAATGAGGTATACATTGAGAGCTGCGGGTTAATGCCAGACATCAACATCTCCCTAATGACTGCAGTCACAATCTAATCCGCTCACTCAATTAGCACTGGGTAATTAGTCATGCCCTTATAGAGACTTTTTATATGTTTTTAGGAAACGTGAACACGATGTCCTTTATAAAGTCTCTAATTGAAGGTCTGTGACTGGAACGTGAAGACTCAAATGCTAAACAAAAGAAAATGGCCTGGAATTAACATTGTTATGTTTATGTAAATTGCATGTAAATTAGTTTAATTTGAATTATATTACTATTCAGGACATTTAAAAAAACATTTAGTGTTGATGAGCATTTCTTCCACCAGATTTCTGTAGAATGATGGATTATAGATTCACAATCACAGTATCGTGTGTCGCTAAAATTATTATAGTTAATTAAAGGATACGTTCAGACTCTACCTTATATACTAAGAAGCCCTGAAACACAAACACTGTATGGATATACCATCCCAGAATGAAATGCCATTACTGGCGATGGAAGTATTTATTGTACATCCGTGGCACTGATAACATAATGGTTGGGTTGAACATCTTCTTTCTCTACCATCTGTATACTCATTGCTGTACAGCAAACTTTAACAACTTTGTTATCGCTTGGGATGCTTTCCAAATACAGGCATGAACAGTATTAAAGCTCAATGGTTTAATTTATCATCTTTCAATCTATATGAAAAGAACACTCCACCATCCAAATAATCACAATTTAGTAGACATACCCCTATTAAAACATGCTTGCAATTTATATTGATTTTTTTTACATTGGGAGTATATGGAAAAACATCTTGCAAAAGCTGTAGATCTCTTTTCTGCTGCCTTTGCAAGCCCTCCCTTTTTAACCCCGCCCAGACTTTCTGTGGCTGTCCAATCACAGACTTCCCAATGCAGCTCAATGAGAAGTCTTTCCAAGGCAGGTGCTCTGGTCAATTGCCGCCTCTTGAGTTTATCTCCCCTGAGCTAAACAAACCAGGAAGTAACAGGACTGTTTGTCTGATAGACGGCCAGGCTGACGTAACAAGGTTAATGTATAAAAGTGCCAATTTCTATTGAAACCTGTGCTTTTTTTGTAAAATGAAAAAAAAACAGGACATACTCTTCACACATAAAGCACTTCAGCAAGCTAAACTGCGTCAGGTGTTTGGAGAGCTACTTTGATATTAATGAAACTTACAAAGCAAATTAAATATGTGAGATTCTGACTTTTCAGAAGAACATAAGCAATCAGACCAGTCGAATTTGGAACAAGTTACACAAGGTATCAGTAAAAACCATGGTGCTAGGGCTACAAACTGCTTGAATCCAAAGCATGGCTGGCCACATAGAGAAAATAGGGTTTGCTCTCCCATTAGCTCAAGAAGACAAGTTGAGCCAAATGTACATCGTGATAGTTGTTGCTAGATTTTGAAAATTAAATGTGTCATGATATTGTCCAATCATTGCTAACCTTGAATAACCGATGTTTGCAAACTACACTTCCCACGATGCTTAGCAAGTCTGCTAAAGTCTGTTTCCTCCACTACAGCGTTGGTCTTGTAACGTGTATGGAATATTTCAGAATATTAAATTCCTACAATAAACCAAGAACAGGAATGTCTTACTTGTCATTTTTGCGAATGTTATGACGGACCAGGTTTACCCAATTTCATGCTCCAATGAATGAAACACTACAAGTGGAGCGCCATATTTTATGAGCAATTGATAAGGTGTTATGGCTTTTGAAACATTATAGATTAGTCATATTTCACGCTGTGACACTGCTTCAGTGTTTGGTTAACTGTGACCAGCCTAGAGTGAAATACGCTCCGTTGACAAAGAGGACACGGGTTCGATGAGAAAAGCCATTTCCAAATGCACAGTCAGGATCTCACAACTAAAGGACAATGACGAACAGTCTAATCGATAAGAACACGGTGTAAAAATAAGGAAGATAAATGAATCACAACGATAAGTCACTTCCATAAATTATACGGAGAAGAGGTTTCAACAAGATGTGATTCCTTCTCACGTGTTGGATTTTTTTATTCTTATTATCTTGAGAAAAGAGAGAAATTTAACCACTTACAGGCCCTAAGGTGAGCGGAACGCGATGTGATGTCATCAAGAGATTTAGGGTAGAACATTTTAATCATTAATAAAGTTAACAAACAAAACAAAAAAAGTGTAAATGAAAATGAGTCTATTATCCTTATAGAAAGATATCGTGGAGGAAACAAATTCTTGGAATTTTAAGTAGAAAGTTAATGAGTTACTTTTAACCTGTGTATGCCTGGTTCCTAGGTTGTCTGAAAATCTCAATTCACCAAAAAAGAATCGGTTTATTAAAATGTCATTTTCTTTATTTGAAGGAAAAGTAAACTGATAGTGGTATTTCATTTGGAGATGGTCGATCTTACCTGTGAAATGATGCTGCTTGGTGGAGACTCGGTTGACATTTTGCAGTGAGCAGCACAGACTGAGTAAGACTAACATAGTGACTATCATCAGGATACTCTGTAACAGAAGAGGGAACTCAAAGAACTTGCCAAACCTAGAGGAGAGAGAATGGGAACATTAATGAGCGCTGGGACCTGTCGATGTATGCAGCCATGCCTATTCAGTGTGAGAGAGAGGGCCCAGTGTGGTCTGCTTTCTAGGGCTTAACAGTATATTATCCAACGCCAACATCTTCACCCATATCGCTTCCCTGGAGTTAGTGCAGTGGTCCCTTTTTTTTAGGCAATCATTTTATAAATTAGCATAGACACTAATTATGTTGCGATTTTGACACTTTTCTTATAAAAAATATTTTCTATATAACTGTGTCGTATATTATGCAAAGTGTGGATAGTGGCCAATGGGTCAGAAATTTAGAAAAATGTAAGCTCTTGGAACGGAAATAATTTTAAGGGCTGTGGATTTATATGCATCAAAATGATGGTACAGATATATCCTATTATGTAATACGGGGGTGTCCAAAAGGTAGATCCCCAGATGTTGCAGAACTACAACTCCCATGATGCTTTGCATGCCTTTAGAATGGATTTAGAATGACAAAGCATCATGGAAGCTGTAGTTTTAAAACATCGGGGGATCTTCCTTTTGGGCACCCCTGATGTAATCAACAATTCAACAGATGGTCAGTGTAGTTATATTTTATTCAGTGTCATGTAAATTGAAACAATAATTATTTGCAATAACACTCACTCTATAGATCGCAATGCAGTCAATCATATATAGGAATATTTATACACTCACCTGGCTAAATTCGGCTTCTCGGAGATGTAAGAGGTTTTATAAACTTAAAAAAATACAGTTAATTATCTGCGAACTGCCATCATGCAATTATTTTTTTTAATGCATTCTTTTTCATTGATTTCTTTTATTTCTTAAAACCCCACTCTTTTATTATGTATACATCATTATTATTTCACACATCCTACATTCCATTTTAAAAAGTAATCCATTTTGTTTCACAACGTTCTCCCTGGCCTCTCCCTAATGGGGGGCCTCCATTCAGATACATAATGTATGGCATTTTGTTTCCTTCCTTATTTTGTCTATTTTATTTAAATAGAATTGGTCGTCTGTCTGTGGTATTCGGAAATATAATCCCGACACCCAAAGGGCTGCTGACACTCGGCATTATTTCCAGTAAAAAAATGTTTGGAAAGTAATTCATGTAATAAAAAGAATAAAATGAGGAACACGATATATTTACTGAAACTTTACAAACAAAAACTTTCATTTATGAATGTTATATATTTTTTATTTAAAAACAAAGCTTTTAAAACAAGCAGATTTCTTTGTGCAAATGATCAATTATCAATCGATTTAAAGGAACACTGTAGTCTGGAATCACAATAGGCTGCAGTGCCTCTGCCCTCCTAACCCTGCAATGTATAACATACAGTGTTTGAGAAACATCAATGTTTACTTTGCACGGTTAACGCCTCCTCTAGTGATGGTGAGCATGACAGCCACTAGAGGTGCTTCCACAGCAGTGACGGAGTATAAAACTCGGTCACCTGACCTAGAGAAAGCTTAGTAGAAAAGCACTGACTCAATGCTTTCCTGTTCAGAATTTTTAATGAATTTTTAATGAGTGCGCTGCACCAGTTGTTATGGTGTGAGGATGTCCCAAGCACCGTCTTAACTTCAGGGGTTAAACCATTAATGAACAGTTTAACCCCTAAAGTCTTCAATTTGGGCCCATCAGCTCTGCTTCTTCACTTCCTTTCAGTCTGAGGCTTCAATCAAGAATGGGGCCCCACTTGTAGTTTGAGACCGTCAGCTGACACATTCAATCTATCAGTTGCTCCCCATTAACAAAATAGAGTGAAAAACATACGTTCCTTTGTTTAATCTGTTCTGTGAATGGGTAGTTACTGATAGCCTGAGCGTGTAAGGTGATGCCTATCAATGGTGCCTGGTCCGAAGTTTCCGACCAACTGATGTGTTTAATTTGACCACATTGTGCAAAGAATTAACCATTTAAGAAGGTTCTATCTTCTTACAAGTTTTAATGGTAATGAGTTGAAAATATGCCTAAAACTTTGCAAACCAAGATTTTCACGAATTGAAAAATGCAATTTTCTAAGTTTTTGCTATGACCTTGTGGATCTACAAATTTGTTCCACTGGGAAAACTTATTACAAAGTCATGAAATATGGTTCCATTCTTTAACATTTTAACAGCCAAAAGCTACAATGTCACCTCAAACCTTATTACTGGCACAGAGATCTTAAACCACTCATTAATCTGACTCTTATTAATTCTAAATACATTTTGTGGCCTGAAATAATTTAGGAAAATATGCAGAAAGCTCAAAGAAACATGACGATTATAAGAATTGGATGTAATTAGGGCCCTGGGAGACAACAAGACTTTTTTTAAACTAAACCTTAAAAAATGTTGAACGGACATGTCATCAGGTTTAATAATTACAATGTAAATTTAAAGTAGCAACAATATATAAACCTCCTAATTAGCATGGTGACAGTATCTTACCTTGGCTGAAAGTCATTCTGTTCGAATTACGATGCTGCATTGTCAAACAACATTTTAATTTTCAGGATGTTGTAGTATTGTTGTACAAGACTAATGACTATAAATTATCAGGTCTAAAAGAGAAGTTACAATGTACCGCTGCAGACTTTTACTAATTAGAATTGGAAAGTGCTAAACAGACATTTAAATTAACACTGACAATTTGACAATAACATAAATCCAAAACCTATTATTATCTTAAAAATGTATCTTGAGAATGGGCAAGTTTCGGTGATATTTTGACATTCCTGTGTGGTACACAGATCCCAGTTTTTAACCATTTACTTACAGACCATAAACGAACACAATCGTCCTACTCATTCAGCAGTCGGTTACCCTTAGAGATTGGTTACCTGATCTCTTGGAGACCCATGCACACTAAGGAGGGCTATTCAGCAAGCCCCGGTAAGGCATGTATAATTAATATTACACTGAAGATTAGGGACAAAGGGTACTCTTCAGCATCGGGACTTAGAAAATTTAGGGAACAGGTTAAGATTTGGGCTTTAAGGTTATAGACTGACATTTAAGTTGGATATTGGTTATAATTAGGGTGAGAATAACATTTAAGGTTAGGGTTAGTGCTACATTTGCCCTTAGGATGATAACTGTGTCTTGTGTAGTTACTTTTGCATTATTATTCTTTAAACTGGCCTGTACTTGGCTCTCTTCTTCTCAATTCTCCATCTCAAGCAACTGGTACAGAGGTAGAAGAAATTATAAAAAGACAATAAATATAAACATTTTGCCAAAGTGGCTGCTTCCAAAGTTTTGCTTTTTGGAGAGTGGTTGACCCAGTCTAACACATATTATAAAATAGTCGGTGTAAAGAAAAGTTGATAACACTTGAGCAATTCGTGGACAAAAGGTAGATCATCGAGCTACACAGAGCTGGTGGAGGAAAGTTCCAGAGATATTGCAAAAGTATCAAACTTACCAAAAAAATATCCTGAGAATGTTAGCAACCAGCAATACCAGGCACACTAAGGTAGAGAATCCATCGGGATTTGAAGTCCTTTTAATTTCTTGATACTGTGGAATGTACGGCAGGACACCTCCAAACACTATGAAGAAGGACGATGCCAAAGACAATAATGGCCAGCTGTCTTCACTGTCATCAACAGGTAGGTCCATGTTCAAAGAACTTTGAATTGTCTGTATTTTTTTTCTGGAAATAAACATGCATTGTTTAAACACCTGAATTTCTCACAATTACACATTACTCTTTACAGTAATTATTTATCAATGTATAGTAGCATCAAATGGTCTTTCCACTGGGTGGTGCTGTTTTCTGCTGCCTCCTATGGAATTAATTTGATGTACTGACATTTACTACAATGCTTCATGAAGATCTATGAAATGGATAATTAATTTTAGATTAAATGGGGCAATTAAGGACAAACGTATGTATCTCTTACAATAATCACAGAACTATTTTCTGCATAGATTGTTGTTCAGCAATATCTAGAATAAATAATTATGTAGATTTTTGGAATTTTACTTTCTCATTTATTTGTTCATTTTTCCAGCTTTTCAGAATTTGTAAGGAGTCTACTGGCACGTTAGGGTTACTACAATGCCAGTAGATTGCAACCAACATTTCACATGAAGTAAAGTCAACTTGCTTGGCAGATAGCTACATGTACTTCTAAGGGCAATGCAGACCTAGAAACATAGAAACATAGAATGTGACAGCAGATAAGAACCATTCGGCCCATCTAGTCTGCCCAATTTTCTAAATACTTTCATTAGTCCCTGGCCTTATCTTATAGTTAGGATAGCCTTATGCCTATCCCACGCATGCTTAAACTCCTTTACTGTGTTAACCTCTACCACTTCAGCTGGAAGGCTATTCCATGCATCCACTACCCTCTCAGTAAAGTAATACTTCCTGATATTATTTTTAAACCTTTGTCCCTCTAATTTAAGACTATGTCCTCTTGTTGTGGTAGTTTTTCTTCTTTTAAATATAGTCTCCTCCTTTACTGTGTTGATTCCCTTTATATATTTAAATGTTTCTATCATATCCCCCCTGTCTCGTCTTTCCTCCAAGCTATACATGTTAAGATCCTTTAACCTTTCCTGGTAAGTTTTATCCCGCAATCCATGAACCAGTTTAGTAGCCCTTCTCTGAACCCTCTCTAAGGTATCAATATCCTTCTGAAGATACGGTCTCCAGTACTGCGTACAATACTCCAAGTGAGGTCTCACCAGTGTTCTGTACAATGGCATGAGCACTTCCCTCTTTCTACTGCTAATACCTCTCCCTATACAACCAAGCATTCTGCTAGCATTTCCTGCTGCTCTATTACATTGTCTGCCTACCTTTAAGTCATCAGAAATAATCACCCCTAAATCCCTTTCCTCATATGTTGAGGTTAGGACTCTATCAAATATTCTGTACTCTGCCCTTGGGTTTTTACGTCCAAGATGCATTATCTTGCACTTATCCACATTAAATGTCAGTTGCCACAATTCTGACCATTTTTCTAGTTTACCTAAATCATTTGTCATTTGGCTTATCCCTCCTGGAACATCAACCCTGTTACATATCTTAGTATCATCAGCAAAAAGACATACCTTACCATCAAGACCTTCTGCAATATCACTAATAAAAATATTAAAGAGAATGGGTCCAAGTACAGATCCCTGAGGTACCCCACTGGTGACAAGTCCAAGCTTCGAATATATTCCATTAACTACAACCCTCAGTTGCCTGTCACTCAGCCACTGCCTTACCCATTCAACAATATTGGAATCCAAACTTAAAGATTGCAGTTTATTGATAAGCCTTCTATGTGCAACAGTGTCAAAAGCCTTACTGAAATCTAGGTAAGCAATGTCTACTGCACCACCTGATCTATAATTTTAGTTACCCAATCAAAAAAATCAATAAGATTAGTTTGGCATGATCTCCCTGAAGTAAACCCATGTTGTCTCTGATCTTGAAATCCATGTGTTTTTAGATGTTCATCAATCCTATCCTTTAACATGGTTTCCATCACTTTCCCCACTACTGAAGTAAGGCTTACTGGCCTATAGTTGCCCGACTCCTCCCTATTACCTTTCTTGTAAATGGGCACAACATTCGCTAACTTCCAATCTTCTGGGACTACTCCTGTTAACAATGATTGGTTAAATAAATCTGTTAATGGTTTTGCTAGTACACCACTAAGCTCTTTTAATAGCTTTGGGTGTATTCCATCAGGTCCCATTGACTTATTTGTCTTTACTTTTGACAGTTGAAATAGAACCTCTTCCTCTGTAAACTCACGTGTAATAAATGACTCATTTATCCTTTTTCTCAACTGAGGTCCCTTTCCTTCATTTTCATCTGTAAATACAGAACAAAAATATTCATTGAGGCAGTCAGCCTGACCTTTATCCTCTTCTACATACCTTCCTTCTTTTGTTTTTAATCTAACTATTCCTTGTTTTACTTTTCTTTTCTCATTTATGTATCTAAAAAATGTTTTATCCCCCTTTTTTACTGACTGTGCTATTTTCTCTTCTGTGTGTGATTTGGAAGCTCTTATAACTTGCTTAGCCTCTTTCTGCCTAATCTTATAGATCATTTTGTCTTCCTCACTCTGGGTTTTTTTATAATTCCTAAATGCTAACTTTTTGTTTTTAACTATTTTGGCCACATCTGCGGAGTACCACAGTGGTTTCTTGAATTTTTTGCTTTTACTGACAAGCCTAATGCAATTTTCTGTTGCCTTCAATAGTGCAACTTTTAAATAATCCCATTTCTCTTGGACTCTATTTAAATTGCTCCAGTCTGATAATGACTCCTCTACCCATATTCTAATTTTAGAAAAGTCTGCTTTTCTAAAGTCTAAAACTTTTGTTTTTGTGTGGTGTGACTCAGTCACTGTTCTTATATTAAACCACACTGACTGATGATCACTGGATCCTAAACTTTCACCTACAGTAATATCTGATACCAAATCTCCATTTGTTAACACTAAATCTAGTATGGCCTCTTTACGAGTTGGCTCCTCAACAACTTGTTTTAGAGACAATCCCAGTAGGCCTCCATTAAAATGTATATAGGATTTAAATTCTCTCTGTGTGAGACAGAGGAGTGACCAGAGCTCCTGCTGAGAGTTTTATTGGTTTCCGAGCCAGGCGAGGACCTTTACTGGAGCGGAAGTGGGGTTTGTGGTAATAAATGTTACATAGTTACATAGCTGAACAGAGACATGTGGACATCAAGTTCAGCCATTATACATGTAATATTGCAGTGCGATGCTATGAAACACAGAACCAACTACAGGTACTCCTCACTTACCGATTGGGTTCAGTTCCTACGACCCGTTCGTAGAGCGAATTGGTCGGTAAGTGAGCAGTTAAGGGATTCCCTGCTCTGGTGCGCTTGTGTATGTTCGAGGAAATTTCCCCGAAACATAGATGAGCGCACCAGAGCAGGGAATCCCTCTAATATATGTTCGGGCAAATTTCCCCGAACATAGATTAGAGGGAATCCCTGCTCTGGTGCGGATGTCTGAAGAACGCACAAAAGCAGGGAATCCCTCTAATCTATGCTTGTGGAAATTTGCCGTCTATATTCGTCTATATTCGTCTATGAGAAATGTCCCTGAACATAGACGAACGCAGCATGTCAGGGAATCCCTCTAATTCCCACGACGGCTCGCACTTACCACCCTGCGAGAGAGCTAGTCATAAGTGCAAGCCGTCATAACACAGGTAGGTTGCAAAACGAGGACCACCAGTATGCATATTTGTGGTTTTAGAAAATGACTGCAATCATTTCCATACACCATGTGACTGGAGTTACCACAATGAGTTATACGTAAATTCATTCAGTTGAAGGTGCTCACTGCTGGAAAATGTAGCTTTTTCTAGAATGGTCTTAGGAGGGATATGGTACATAAACTGTATTCTAAAGATTACGCATCAAAAACAATGTAAACCGTTACATTAAAAACAAGTAAATTACCTGTACTGTTGTTCCTACAGATGCACTGGTAGTTAGTCTGCTTGCGGCTAGATAAGGGATTGTGATTTTTACAAACTGCTGTAGTTATTATAAGCCACACTCAGAGCTAGGGGTGCAGGGTACACTCTGTACCATCAACTTTGCAATTAGGGCATTTAGAGTGACCTTTTAATACGCCCTGAAAATGCCCTCGGTGGAGGTCCTATCCTTAATTTGTTAGTTCAATGTTTGTTGCTGTAATTGATTTTTCTATATTCCGTAAATAATTACTTTTTAGAATGTAACAAAAAAAACAAAAAACGTAAATGTAAGGTTCTGCTGGATTTCCCCAAAGAAGAAATCATAAAGTGAAGATCCATTCTATAAAGCCTTTTATTAATCAAATTTGGGCATACACCTTCAATACCAGTCTCACCCACAACACATTAAGGGGTTCATAGCAGTAAAAAGAAATAGATGGAGTTCTCTGCCCAGATAGATTACTTTATCAAATTCAGCTGTTGTCTCGTACAACAAAAATATTTAATAGGATTTTCCTGGTTATTTCGGGCTAAAATAGTTAGTATGTTGATCTAAGTAAAAATCTGATGTGGAGTCAAACTATCAGGGTTTATGTACTGTAGTGAAAATTCAAAATGAATCTGTGTGAATTTCAAGTTTAAGGCAGGGGAATCGAACTAAAAACATCGAAACATTCTGATTTAGAGATTTTGTTCAGATTGGCCATTTTCACTTGAAATTTGGGATTTTGACCCTGTGTCTAATATAACAGTAAAGTTGTCACATTAGATTTCACAGCACATCTATCCTACGGAATGACTTTCCTACCACTCTCTGAAGTCCGGCGTGTGCTGATTGAAGGCCAGTGCCATTTTAAAAAGCACAAATGTCACATTTACCTACGCTAGTCATAAACCATTTTCATGCATTTAAAGGTACAGCACATAAATAAAAAGGCTGCAAATATGATTATCTGCACTCTTTCGGATCCAATTTAAGTGATGTAGCTACACAGCTATTGGGCAAAATCAGTGAAGAATAATGAAAGTAGACGTCTATAAGGGACAGCTATAGTTGTTCGTGCTTTATACTGATAAACATGTGTAAAATAGAGTCACATATGGATTTTTATGATCAGATAATGAATTAGTAAGGTTTACAGAAGATATTCTATTTAGAATAGAACATTTACTTTACTGAAGAGCATTTACTTTACTGAATAGATCGTGTCACTTATCTTAGATGAAAATCAACCTTTTTTTTAAGTTGATAAAATGTATTTTGGTAGCATTTATATCATCTAAAGTTAAAAAGTAAAAGTGAGTCATGAGAATATTCCCAAGGCTGGGCTCCCTGGATGCTAGGTCTGATTGTGTCTCCTTTAACTGGCTTACTGATCCATCATACATTCTAACGTGGAAAATGTGTGAATTAGGGCTATTTCTCCAAAACTGGTACCGACTAAGAGTCTGCCCAAATAACAAATCTAATCAGTCACACACAGAAACAATGAGAATTTTCTCACAAAATAAGATGCTCATATCACTTTCAGATAACATGCAGGGGTAATTTAGCCATTTTGGAGCAAAGTTCTAAAAGTGAAGCAGTACCATGGAAACCACTGGATTGCTCCTGATTGATACATTTGCAGTCACATGATTCTTATAATGACAGACCTGATACATTATCAGTTGTGAAGGAGTACAGAAAAGAACTTGTTATTAAAACTACAGCCTGGTTTGCATTGAAATAATAGCAACAAGAGGTGCTGAAAACAACACATCCCCCAGAAAATGTCCTCATTTCCTGAAAACATGCTGGATTTCAGTGCCAGGCGCACCTTCACCCCAACACTTCTACAAAGTTCTCCCCTTTACCAGTAGTAGTTGCAGACTCCACACTGTTGTGTTGGCACTGCCCAGCACAGCCTCCATGGCAGCTTCTCTCTGGAAGGATCTGTACTTTGTTAGTTATAGAGTGAGTTCAGAGTATCTGGTCAAACTGATGAGCAGGAGTCCTCTCACAGCCTATTCCTACCACCGTGCAGAAAGAAGCTGCAGATCCTGGAGCTTATCTAACCTACAGTATTGGCCATCCAAAGGCAAAAAAAGCTAAAAAGCTATTTGAAACTCTGGAAAACTAAGGAGCATTCGCTTTATTTGGAGGACCACAAGTTGGTAACTATCCTTCGAGGATCTTGCTGTATCCATCAGCACATCACCTTCTATTCAACCGAGGTCAGCTTCATCTAAAGGGCAGACGGCAGGAATTCTCCATCTGGCTGTATCACTATTTATAAGATTATTACATCTAATCTTTCTAGATTCAGCTATATCTAGAAGACCGAATGCTAGGATTCTAACACCAAAGCCCTCACTTTATCAGCATCTTGCCCATTTTCGATTTTTCTATGTTCAACTTCATCTAAACAATGGGAGGTTGGGATCCAAACTTTTCTAACACGATTTTGCTAATCTTATCATCTGTATTTCATTGGTTTCCTAAGAAACTATATGAAAGAGCTGTGTCTAGCCAGCCATTGTAGGAGAAACTTCAGTTTGAAATGGTCCTAAGATCTTAAGAAACCATTTAGCTGAGATTAACTGCTTCAAAACCCAACAGATACGTACCTGCATGAACATAGTGGCTTTTTGCAGAAAAGGGAAAAAATGGTCACATAATTGCCATTGTTAAGAAATGTATTAAAACGGCTCAATAAGACAGAGCACAAAGTAGATTTATAACACTGTCTCTAGAGTCTAATTAGATGCTGCTCCATGTGGGTTTTATAGCTTCACTTGTTAATATTACACATGCAAGATCATGTCAGTGGCAAATGTTGTGCGAATAATAACATTTTACATTAATATTTTCGTTAAAGTAAATTTGATGCAGATGTTCAAGAACCGCCATTATTGGACAAGCATACAAGAACTATACGTGTGGATTCTACAAGAACTTCGATATAAAGTACCTTTTACGATGAAACCTGAATGCATTGAGAACACACTAACTAGGAGGACACTGGAAATATTAGCAGCTGTAGTAACTGGATGGCTCAAAATTCATTGTAACCAATTGGTACATCCTTCAAAGCTGGGAGAGTAACTAAATATCTCTATATGTATACAATTATTCAAACATTATCCTTGCTGACATATTCACCTGCATTAAAGCAGGGATTTTCCTAATGCAAGTGGCATAACAATAGATATTGCACAAGATGTATTGAGTCGTGACTAGTGATGTCCCGAACGGTTCGCCGCAGACGGTGACATCACTAGTCACGACTCAATACTAGTGATGTCCTCCTGGACAGCATCCATTTTGAAGCTGCATTCTTAGTGAGCTGTCCAGGAGGTGGGAGGGTCTGCTGCTGATTGGCTGGAATGTGTCTGCTGACTGTGAGGTACAGGGTCATATGTTCGCCGTCCGCGGCGAACCGTTCGGCGAACCGTTCGGGACATCACTAGTCGTGACCGCCATAGAACTGCTCTCTGTGACTGGTGGTCTAGCGGGCTTGGATGGCATCTGCATTTCTGTGTCGGATAAATGGAACAAACAAGAGGCTGCGCAAAAAGTTGCTGTGCGCACACCTAGGTGCTACTGGTATTTATTTAAAGGACAGAATATCACAAACGTTTCGGGTATTCCCTTTCTCAATGCACCATTGGCAGCACAGGAAGTTCGTCTCCTATTAGATGTGAGCCCCACTGTCCAAGTAGTCCCCAAGTGAGGTGATATCCCGACCTTTACTGACTGTAATACAAAATCAGATCACCAAATAGAGTCATGTGCCACTGATGCACCAGGGACTGTGCCCCCAACCTCTAGTTTACCAAGAAATTGATATAACAAAGGGATGTTGTAACTTAGTTCATCAGCAGGGGTGAGAGGAGCCCCCAAAGGTATGGGTACATTGGGCCCTATCTAATGGGCCACACAAACTAGACGTCCTGTGTTGCAGTAATATTTCTAAATGAATAAATATGTCCAGACGTTATTAATACAAGGATAATACACTGGTGTTTGGCTAATAAAAGAAAATAATGAAATTAATTTATTAAAACTCAAAACAGGTGAATCCATGAAGGTGTCATGATAAAATACATAGTTGAAAATGGACAGTGGTGTTTCCTTTCAAACCAAAAACGGTGAATAAAGTAATGAGGTGGTAATTACAAAGCGATCGGAAGCATTAATTCTGAAAAGTAAAGCACAGCGGAATACCTTGGCGCTATAAAATTCCAATAATAATAAAATATTAACTGAGGACATGCCATCATATGATCTATGCATTTATTAACAATCTAAATCACGAAGTGAAACATTTTATAGGTTGTGTCACAGTCAGATTGCATGAAAGCCCATTAATTGTCCTACAACAACAAGTTCCAACACATTGTGCAGGACGGAAGGGCTGACGAAATGTTCCTGCCACTTCTTCACACAATAATAACATCAGTACACCGTCTGATCCGGGCGACTTCTAACCCCCCCAGGAAAGGACTCAGAACAGATACAATGCTACACTCATTCTGCCTGACTCTCCCACAATACTAACCCAGTCACAGCTAGCCTTCCAACTAATCCACATATGAGGGACACATTCTGGTCTCACTCTACCTTCTTATTAACATAGGTTGGGGTGGCACATAGAACTGACCCATCTAGTTGGTTCTTATTATTCTTCAGGACAGCCTAAAGCACATGCCAAGCATTTTTGCATTCCAGTGCAGTTAGCAGTTACCAACACTACTGGAGAGCTTTTCAAGGTACCTACTACCTTTCTCTGTAATTTTCTGCATTTTCACCCATTACCCCTCCATCTAACCATTTGCCCCTTGCTATATTAGAGCTGATACCTGCTATTTGTCGTGGTATATATATTAGTTAGATTATTTTATAGAGATTTACAATATTCCAGTACATTTTGGGAACTGTAGATCTCTGTGATTTTTTCTTATTTTTAGATAGGCAGACAATCGCTGACCAAGCAATGAATTTTAGTGAATTGCAAAACAGATTGTATAATTCAGGCAAAAAGTGGTGATTTAGAAAATGCTTTGACTCGGCTTGGTTTGTTTTTAGTCTATATTGCGCAATTCAATATTAGACTGACTAGAGTTCTGCATTTAATGAATAAGCCCTTTTATGTCTTCCAGAGCCCTGAAAGGATCTGCGTATCCACGTCTTTCCTCGGTTTCAGTAAGGCTTGCTTTGGGTGTTTATTCTCTGTGTGCTGTTAACTTTTACATAAGGCTTTTTCAAACCTGCCATAGTAATTCTGTATAAAAATAAATAACTATTTCTCAAGACTGCACTTTTTAAAAAAAAATTATTATTTTTTTTACGTGTGACACTGTTGTTGCAATACTTGTGGCAAGTCGGAAAAAAAAATTGCTACTGAATGCGCTGACATGTCATATTTCATTGTCTGCTGTGTACTTTATTACTCTGTAAACACGGTAACATTACTGGAGTGTATACATCATCGCTAACCTTAAAAATAATGCTACGTACTTAACTCCTTCAGGACCGATGACATGTCAGGATTGTTACAGTAGCAAGGTATTTCCTATCTCAGGACCTTAAACGGTTAATATGTTATATAATGACATGTCGCAATTCTACGTATACTTTTCATTTCTTAATTCCAGACTTATTTATCTTAAAAAGACTCACGCTCAGAAATGCGAAAACTTTAGTACATTGCACTCTGATGTTTGGCTTGCAAACCGTCATACTTTGTGTAGCAGAGTTTAAAGGGGTACAAACACTGTGGTACACAGAGTAGGGAGTTTGTATGAGGCTGGATACTCACTTATTCTGTAAGAGGGGAGTATACTCACCACGGAGCCGACACAAGATGCTACAGGAGATGAAGCTTTCAAATTCGGTCAGACAGGTCTGGGCTGGATCGGAGGAGGAGGCTGCTTGAATGAGAATGTAAACAGCTGGCGGCAAACTTCCTGCTCAGGATGGAATTACAAACTAGCAGCATATAGAGTGATTGGGAACTCGAAAGGAAGAGAGAGGCCGGGCAGCATTAGACACATAGCTATGGACCTAGCAGCCAGCTCTAAGCAATGGATAGGATCTTGTGTCTTTGTCCTTTAACTGAGTGTGGGCCAGGTAGCAGAAAGGGGGAAGCCGAAGGGCTTATAAATAAAATGTAAATGATAGCGAATTAAAATCTGAATAGCAAAATAGAGAAAATATCCTGTGACTATAACCGATATAGAGATATATTGAAAATCAGCTACTTTAGGCTCCATTTTTCAACTTAGATTTCAATTTAGCGAAAGCGATGTAATGTAAAATGGCGCCCAATGCCACTTTATTTCCTATTGTACAGTGCAGCGGAATATGTCGGTGATATATAAATAATAATTACTGTTGTTATCACATATAAAAGTTATACGTATAATGATCTTGCAAGCGGTGGGAAGTGTTGGGAATTCAAATTGAGTTATATTTCCAAATTGAAATCCCAGCTTACTAGGAGAGATTTTCCATTTCAGCTTTTTTGGCCAAGAATGTTACATTTATTTTCGAATTACCACCAGTTTACAGATTTGTAAAAAAATAATTATTTTTTTCTGTATCTGACACCTTTTCCTGGATGGCAGCTCAATATTGTTAAATGCTAAATTTCATGTGATGCCTGTCCTTGGTGAAAACGTAATCCTAAAATATCACTCCATCGCAAGTTCAGGAACTATACCGTATACCTCGTTATGAGGACCTCAACACTATCAGGAGACTAATCATTGTAAAAGTCTATGCAGAATAAATCACTGGATCCAGGGCCGGCCCATCCATAGGCCCCGGTGAAGCCATGGCTCCAGGCGACACTTTCACAGGTGCGGTGTTTTGCCACCCCTGTGTCTGCCGTTAGGGGCCCAGGCCGGCTATCTGCATATATAGCGCAATAAGAGCATATCTATATATGCAGCCGGTGCTCTCTCCGTCCCTGGGGTCCAGTGCGGTTGCAGTGAGGCAGGCATAAGTGAATGTCTGTCATAAGTGAATGTCTGTCATTGAGTGTGTGAGTGAGTGTCAGTGGATGTGTGTGTGTGTTTGTGTCTGTATCTGTTTGTATGTGTGTAATGTGTGTGTATTTGTGTGTTCAGTGTGTGTTTGTATGTGTGTATTTGTAGTTTGGGTATCTGTTTGTAGTGTGGGTATCTGTGTGTTTGTATGTGTGTAGTGTGTGTATCTGTGTGTTTGTATGTGTGTATCTGTGTATGTGTAGTGTATGTATCTGTTTGCATGTGTGTAATGTGTGTATGTGTTTGTATGTAGTGTGTGTATCTGTGTATGTGTAGTGTGTGTAGTGTATACATGTGTAGTGTGTGTATCTGTGTAGTGTGTGTATCTGTATGTAGTGTTACAATGTTACAATGTTACAGAAATCAGTTACTGATGGGCTGATATATACACTAATCACTAATATCATGTGAAAATGCCTCTTTCTGCTTACTGTACTGTACAGACTGTTCTTTAAAAACATAATAGCCTGGCGAGGTAGCTCAGCTGCCAAAATACTTGACCACAAATCCTGCTCAAAAATACAAGGCCACATGTTCAAATCCTGGCAGGGTCAACCTAGCAACAATAATATACACTACTATTCAGCTGCCGATCTGGCCAGCTCTGAGAGCACACGCTGAAGAGCTGAGAGGGTAGTGGATGCATAGAATAGCCTTCCAAATGAAGTGGTAGAGGTTAACACAGTGAGGGAGTTTAAGCATGCGTGGGATAGGCATAAGGCTATCCTAACTATAAGATAAGGCCAGGGACTAATGAAAGTATTTAGAAAATTGGGCAGACTAGATGGGCCGAATGGTTCTTATCTGCCGTCACATTCTATAATAATGAATTATAACTGTATACAGTATAAATAATGTGCTCTGAACAGAACAGCCCTGTATATACAGCCCAGGGGCATATTAGCCGCGAGGCAAACAAGGCATTTGCCTTGGGCGGCATTTTTCAGGGGGCGGCAAAAAACGCCGCCCCCAAATGCCCAGGGCAAATGCCTAGTTTGCCTTGCGGCTAACAGACATACCCGAGCGGGCGGGCGGTGCTGGGCGGGTGGCTGGCGAGGGAGCTGAGCAGACCGCTCAGAGGAAGTGCTCCCTCGCCAGCCGCCCACCCAGCAGCCAGCGCCGCCTGCCCGACCGGCAGCCACTGGTCCACCAGGGAGAGAGAGACCCCCCCCCCAGCACTCCCAAAGGTAAGGAGGCTGGGGGGGGGGTAAATAAAAAGAAAACATTTTTTTGATGTGAGTGTGTGTCTGACTGTGTGTGTGTGTGTTTGTGTCTGTGTTTATGTCTGACTGTGTGTGTGTGTTTGTGTGTGTGTGTTTGTGTCTGACTGTGTGTTTGTGTCTGACTGTGTGTGTTTATGTCTGACTGTGTGTGTGTGTTTGTGTTTATGTCTGACTGTGTGTGTTTGTGTCTGTGTGTGTGTGTGTTTGTGTCTGACTGTGTGTGTGTGTCTGTGTTTGTGTCTGTGTGTGTGTTTGTGTCTGACTGTGTGTGTTTGTGTCTGACTGTGTGTGTGTGTCTGACTGTGTGTGTGCCTGACTGTGTGTGTGTGTGTGTCTGACTGTGTGTGTGTTTGTGTCTGACTGTGGTGTGTGTATTTAGAAGGTGGGGCGGGGGGGGAAGGATTGGGTGGGGGTGGCGCAGGGGGGTGCCTGAGTTTTGTCCTGCCTAGGGCAGCACAAAACCAGGATACACCACTGATACAGCCTGTCCTTTGGAGAAATATACAACAGACACATGTAAACCTAAGGCCAGGGATGGCTTAACAAAGGAGCTGATAGAGCTGAAGCTCTGGACCCATGCCTATGGAATAGATGCATTGAATAAAAAATAAAAAAAAAGTAATATATATATGTTTGTTAATACTCTTCACATGCTCTTGCTTTGTACAGAGGGAATTAATTATGTGAACTTAGAAAGGATGTAGGTGTACAGGAATTTTGAGGATTGGTGACTATAAAATAGTTAAGATAAACACTATGCAGATTATTATGCTGCTTTGGTCTCTCTACACTGTGGCATATCCCCTTTCCTCTTCACTCACTACATCCACCTTTTTCTCTGTCTCACGCTGCATATCTTCTGCCTGTTAATATGAATGGAAGGAGAGGAGTGGACAGTAGGGTACTGGGGAAACACCAGAGAATCTTCCTCCATGGGGTGCTAGCGGCAAACTCAGGGTGCTGAAACAGCGCTGACTGCACAGGCACCCCCTTACTTGGATGGCATGTGTGATTGGTGGGCAGGCTGACCTTTAAGAGGTGCCAAAGAAGTGATTTACATCACTGGCAGACCTCCTTTTACCCTGTCAGGTGAATTTCCACTGGATGTCGATGTTGGGGAATGAATTTGGTTGAGAGATGAAAGCGAGAGATTAATAAAGGGAATGTGTATTCTTATAAATGTGAGTTTCCTGTCAGCACCACTTCCACCAGATACATGACGCTTGGGAGGTAGGACTGTTATAGTGTTTTCTATCAATAAGATTCTGTAATTAGGCCCATCATAGCTGTCAGCACCAGGCCCAATGAGCTCTTAATCCACCTTGTCTAAGGCCTTAATTTAATATATGTTAATATATCAATAAATCAAAAGTTATCAAAATATTAAATCATATGAAAAGCTTATCCACGAATATTAAGTGGCGTTCTAAGAGGGGCGGTGAGTAGGGAGATTTTATATCCAGCACATAAGGAGTTTACAGAGGCAGGAAAAGCCTTAAAGCATTGTTTTAGATTCCAAAAAATGCAGTACAGGAAAACAACCAACACGTCGTTCCTCTGTAGTTTAAAGAAACAGACACATCTATGTTTGCCCTTCAGTAATAAAAGTTCCCATAAATCCTGCAGATGGTAATGTCATGTCAGTAAACCAGCCATTGGATGGAGGCCAGAGATACGCCCTCAATACTATAAATCATCCGCTGGATGCTTGCCCACAATGTGCCATCATTGAAAGCACAACAAAGCCGAACAAACTGGCAATCAGGAGCATGTTTCCGTAACTGTGTTTAATCAGTTCCAACTATGTGCATGACCGCCATTAACAATTCATGGAGGATGCCCCCTGGGTGAAACATGGGCATCCAGAGCACGAAGCAGCTGGAGGGGCACAAATCAGGTGGAGAGCATCACATAAACTGTTGGTGGGATAATGTGGCACATGGGTAGAACAATATACAGTATGCAGACCTAGTTCCTGTCCAGAATCCAGATGGAGGTGAACATTTATACAGTAATTCAGGGCTAAATTCTATTCGATGAGCTCGTCTGTGTCACCTAATTGCATTTTACCCATATAGGTCAATGGGACGACTGCTATTAAATAACTAGAGGTAAGTTTATCTCTTTTAATAGAACCCAGCCCTAAGTCTCCTTGACTAATGGAGCGTGTGTGGCCATCCTAACTTTCAGGCACACACAAACAAGAGCTCAACAGAGCTTGCAGTCTAAAGCGAATGAAGTGTAAATGTTCTAATGTCCCAATGCTTTCTTGCAACATGCAATGTTTTATAACAGCCACGATCGAGAATATTTGGAGCTGCCTCTGTCCATACATCCCAGTTACCCGAGGAGATTCTGCTAGCATCACGACTGACGTTCCTATTAGCTCAACAGCTCACTCCTGAATATTTTCCTTTGACCATTAGCTACATAACGTTACTGTTGTTGTCTGTAGCGCTAACTCTGGCGAGTTCTAGGTTTAAGCTGTTCTCGACAATCCTGACCTTGGCTCATGTGTCGACCACCTTTGTATCGGCCACATTAGCTTGCACAAACCGTGTGATGTGGTACAGCGGTGACTTCAGTAGGAAGGAATATTAATTACATAGTTGATATGAGTTGGTTATAGGACTGGAGTCTAGTGGAAAGTAACAATAAGATGCCTGTATTTCATCCATTCAATCCCAATGAATGGAGAACCTGGTAACGTAATTTGTCCCTTTAAAATGTTGCATATTTCACAATTTTTGTTTCACTCCTCTGTTTAGCTTTTCCCATAATGATGTGGAATTCCTTCTGTTTTGGACGTTTATTTGTTCTAGCTTGGCATTTATGGCCATACACAGCCAGCGATACAGATATAACCTTAAATCGCTAAAACAATGAGAAGACTAAGAGAGTTCTAGGGGCAGGCCACATCGTGACAGGGACTTGGAGATCATGTCACGACATGTCAAAGAGCAATGATTCCCAACTCAGTCCTCTAGAGATACAGCAATAGTCCAGGTCTTGTCATGATTCCCATTGGAACATAAATGGAAAATTCCGAAATCCCAAGCTGTCGCTGTTGTGCCCTGAGAGCTGGGTTGGAAAACATTACCAGAGAGTAAGTCAAAATGAAATGCTTCTCTGCTAGATCACATAACCTAAAGAGAAGGATAGGTGGGTAACTTTCTTAGGGGTTTTTACTAAAAGGAGAATTCAAAATTATCTACAAATTTATGGTCAGAGAAAACAAACAAAACCATTGCTGGGGATGTTTCCCGTTCGACTATTTTGATCTTGAATTTGAAATTCACTTTGAATTCTCAGTTTAGAGAATAACCCAATTGTACAGCGCTGCGGAATTTGTTGGGGCTTTATAAATGCCGGTAACAAATAAGTAATAAATAAACCCTGTGTGTGTTGATTGCATGCTTAACAACGTCTATATAAAATTAGACATATACCAACAGATTGACGAAACATAATTTGGTATTATATACATTTTTTTATATTTTGTATTTAATTATACAGCCCATTTATTGCTTTTTTCCTTTAAAGATTTCTGTAAAGGGGAAGGGGCCAAATGTTTTATGGAATATTGCACAGTATAATTATTTAATCAAGCACCGAGAGAATAGCTATTATCTACAATAACAACACCAACATCAAAAACGCTTTCCACGTCATCCATGCTGAGAGTCCTTGAAACCATGCAAACACCCCACTAACGTGTTTATGAATTATTCATGTCTTTCTGTCCAGATTTATTTCATAGACCGTACATATTTAAGGGTGGCACATCTGCAAATAAATCTTTTCTTCCCATCACTAAGAATGGATGATACAGAGTAACAATATATTCATTCGGAGATGACCTTTAACGACCTTGAAACATACAGAGCAAGGTACATTTAGATGTGATTTACTGTAATGGTGTTCTAATGAAACTGTGGCTGATGGTAAATGAAAATGTCTGCGCCGGCGTTCGATTGCTTGAATCAGTTAATGCAACTAAAGTTATTTATTTTTTAATTTATTTAATAGCGCGCTGGTAAAGCCAAGAAAATACAGTTGCTTATCGGGTGTGTGGGTGTTTAAAACACGTAATGGTGTCTTAATTGGGTACTGCCAGGATTACGGAGATGTGTACTTTTGAATCCTAATGCGTTACACACTATGTTTATTTCTAAAAGATGTCTGTACATTGTTCAGGGTAACTAGCGGACAAAAAAAAGTCTACAATCTGTAATTCTGTATCCCTGTTCATTATATTTATTAAAGGCTTTGGCACCATATGGGGTTTGAAGGTGACAGGCAAATGCTGATATAGAAATTAAAAGACAGGATTATCTGTTAAGTATATGGCAGGACTTGCCAGCTACTGATAATCATACATTAAAATGAAAAGATATTTAAGTCACGGTGACACAGAGAGGAAGGTGACAGGTCTGGCAGCTCTGAACACTTTGTGCCCCGCTTTATGTTGGCGTGGTAAAGTGGCAGAAAAGAATGTGAATATGATGTAGGAGGGTTGGAAGACAACTGATCTCCTATTAAAGGGACACTCTAGGCACTATAACCACTTTGACTCATTTAAGTGTCTATGGTGCTTGTAGTCCCCTGGCGCTGTAGTCCCCTGGCTCTGTTCGGTGTTAAACCATTTTCAGATAGTTTAAGATTGAATGCGGACTGTATCCCAACTGTATGCGGCCCGGACCGTCTCCTCATTAGTCCAAGCTGGGATGGGTAACAAAAATAGGGCAACAGTTACATTTCCTCCAGTGGGGGCCATGTTGCAGGTGGTCAATGTTCCTCATTCTATGATAAACAATTAAAACACAGTTTACACTGAACCATGAGTTGGCATCTGGGGACTTCGGTCACCATAACCACTTCAATATAATGAAGTGATCACTGGTGCCTATGGTGTCCCTTGAAAATAAACATATTAAGCCGATGATGCATTTAGCTGTATAATAAATATGAGCTGTGTTATTATAACAATCTCTCTTTGACTGACAGCTCTGGCTCCTAAGTGTGAACGTCCCTTTCTTGACTATAGTTTCCTGTTTATTGTTTCCCCTTGTAGCTGAAACATCATTTTAAAGACTTCCTTGTGTGGTGTGTTTTTCTCATGAGATGAAAAGATATATTTACATTAGAAATTAAGGTAAGCCGTGAAGAACTGGTACTTTATTCAATATAGTCAAGGTCAATACAATGATTTCTGCAGGGGGACCACCTTAAGTGCTTGAACAAAGTGGCAATATTCAGTTACAGGCTTTCATTTCTATAATATTATTATTATTACTGGTATTTATATAGCGTCAACAGATTCCGAAGCGCTTTACAATATTATGAGAGGGAGGATTTAACTATAAATAGGACAATTACAAGAAAACTTACAGGAACGATAGGTTGAATAGGGCCCTGCTCAAACGAGCTTACAGGCTATAGGAGGTGGGATATAAAACACAATAGGGCAGGAAATTGCAATTAAATTAGGTGGGAGTGAAGCAGAGCTGGAAGAGAGAGTAGAGTGCTGCCTTTTAGGAGAGAGCAAGCGACAGGTATGTGAGGTACAGGTAGCTCTGGGAGGCCATAAACCTTCCTAAAGAGATGGGTTTTAAGGCACTTTTCAAATGATTGAACATATTGTGTTCACCTTATATTTCTAATATAATCCAGAATCCTTACCAGTTCAATGTTCCCAATAGCTACCTTACTGTCAATATACATTCTACAAGGATCCATACAGACACATTGTACTTGCATTTAGTAAATAATACGGGACTGATGCTCTATAACAGAGCACTTCAAATAATAATGAGTACCCGGCACTGCAATATTCATCCTGTTTCGTGTAGTAGCGGCACAAGTTAAATGCTACAGGATGAAAATGGGAGTTCCTGCTTTTCTGTTTTTTTTTTATATACTATTTGGGGTTTGGCCGCCCAAGATCACTGAGCACCTGAATCCATCGTTCTTTAAGCACGTGCAGTCTCTTTCTGTGATAAGTTATAACAGCGTGGTGGCACTGCTGTACCCTTTGCAGCTTTAAATGCTCCACACATTATCATGACAATAACACCTGAGTACAGACAACAGGCCATTTTTTATTCTCATTCCTGGGTAGATCTATAACTCCTTCATCGTGAGAACTTAATAATCAATATTGCCATGCTACGAGGGAATTCTCCAACTGCATAAAACAATAGACATGTGCAATTCGTTTCGGTCCGAATTAAAATTCGGCCAAATTTCGGGTAATTCGGACATTCGGGTGCTTCCGAATGTCCGAATAGCTGAATTACCAAAGTGCCGGATTGCCGAAGTGCCGAAATTACCGAATTTCCGAAGTGTAGTAGTGCCGAAGTGCCAAATTGCAGAAGTGCCGAAGTTGCCGAAGTTCTGAGGTGTCAAAGTGACGAAGTTCCGAAGCACAGTATTGCCTAAGTACTAATATACTTACCCAGTGAAAGAATAAGAATGTTACACTGTATACAATTTCAAATAAAAAGTATACAAACATAGCCAGGATTCAGCTGTAACACTTACAACAATCAAGTAACATACATTCATATAAAATGTAAGTTACTTGGCCAGTCATGTAATGACAGGATTGAATAAGTAGATAACTCCCTAATTCCCACGGTATTAGGGCGTTATCTACTAAAAGGCTGAAAGACCTAAATTGGTCTTTCAGCCAAATTTACTAATACTAAGTAAAGATTATTTAGTATTAGTAAATTATGCCCCTACTCGCTATACCGCGAGTAGGGGTATCTCTATTAAACAGTGAGCAGCCTGTGGCTGCTCACTGTAAAAAAAAAAAAGGTCTCCCCTCCTGAGCCCCCACCCGCGACGTTCGAGTGGGGGCTTTTAAACAAGTTCGAGTGGGAGCTTTTAAACCTATTGCCCCCCCCGGCCCCCACCCCTGAGAGGCGGGTGGGGGCCCTAAAGTAAAAAAAGGGGGGAGGACTTATTGTCCTACCCACCGGCCCCCACCCCAAAATAAAGTCCTACCTACCCCCATCACCCTAAAAATAATGAGGGGGGACCTTTAACTAAATACCTGTAAAAATAAACGTACCATTCAATGTTTTCTTTCCTCTAAAATCTTATTTTTTCAGCCCCAAAAAAGGCCAAATAAAAATCCATAATAAAAAAAAAAAAACGAGCGCAGACTGAGCTCTTCAGGGCGGGGGAAGGCTTATAATGCCTTGCCCCGCCCTGCAATTAGGCTCAGAGCACTCTGATTAGTGGGTTTAAGCCATCCAATCAGAGTGCTCTGACAGGTAAATGAAGAGACTGACAGGTAAGTCTCTACATTTACCTGTCACAGCACTCTGATTGGTTGGTTTGAAATCCACCAATCAGAGTGCTCTGTGTCATTTTACACAGCGTGGGAAAGTTCTTTGGAATTTTCCCATGCTGTATAATTTGATTCATAACACTCTGATTGGTGGATTAAGTAACCAATCAGAGTGTTATGAGTCAAATTACACAGCATGGGAAAACTTCAAACCAACCAATCAGAGTGCTGTGACAGGTAAATGTAGAGACTTACCTGTCAGTCCCTTCATTTACCTGTCAGAGTACTCTGATTGGATGGCTTAAACCCACCAATCAGAGTGCTCTGAGCCTAATTGCAGGACGGGGCAAGGCTTTATAAGCCTTCCCCCGCCCTGCTGAGCTCAGTCTGCGTGGAGCCCTCCATAGGTGAAGATGGATTATTTTTTTTAATTGCGTCGGCTATTATGGATTTTTATTTGGAAAGATTTTAGAAGAAAGAAAACATTGAATGGTAAGTTTATTTTTTATTTTTACAGGTATTTAGTTAAAGGTCCCCCCTCATTATTTTTAGGGTGAGGGGGGTAGGTAGGAGTTTATTTTTTGGGGGAGGGGGTGACTAGGGGTTTGGGGACCCCTAGTCATCTGGGGGGAGGGGAGTTAAATTTGTATTTAGGGCCCCCACCCGCCACTCAGGGGTTGGGGCCAGGGGGGAGGACATTAGGTCACCCCCCCTTATTCTAGTTTAGGGCCCCCACCCACCGCTCATTGATGGGGGCCAGGGAGGAGGACATTAGGTCCCCCCCCTTATTCTTGTTTAGGGCCCCCTTGTGGGTGGGGGCCCTAAACAAGAATAAGGGGGGGACCTAATGTCCTCCCCCCTGGCCCCCACCCCTGAGTGGTGGGTGGGGGCCCTAAACTAGAATAAGGGGGGGAAAATTCCAAAGAACAATAGGTCCCCCCCCAATTTGTATTTAGGGCCCCCACCTGCTGCTCAAGGGTGGGGGCCATGGGGGAGGACATTAGGTCCCCCCCTTATTCTTGTTAATGGCCCCCACCCACCGCTCAGGGGTGGGGCCCAGGGGGGTGGACATTAGGTGTCCCCCCCATTTTTATTTAGGGCCCCCACCCGCCGCTCAGGGTTTGGGGCCGGTGGGGAGGACAATAGGTCCTCCCCGCTTTTTTTACTTTAGGGCCCCCACCCGCTGCTCAGGGAGGCGGGACCCTTTTTTTTTATAGCGAGTAGGGGCAAAATTTACTAATACTAAGTAATTTTTACTTAGTATTAGTAAATTTGGCTGAAAGACCAATTTAGGTCTTTCAGCCTTTTGGTAGATAACTCCCTAATACCGTGGGAATTAGATAGTTATCTACCAAGCGGCTGCAAGAAAATTCTGAAATGCCGAAAGTTCCGAAGTTGCCGAAGTGCAAAAGTTCCGAAGTGCCAAATTGCCGAAGTCCTGAAGTGTCTAAGATCTGAAGTGCCGAAGTTGCCGAAGTGTCGAAGTGCCAAATTGCCGAAGTCCTGAATTGACGAAGTCCCGAATTTCGGAATGCAGAACCAAGCCGAATATTTTCCCCATGCACATGCCTATAAAACAATCTATAGAAAGAATTCAAAATTAACTTACCTGAGCTGAACTGGGACACGCACCACTAAGCTGTGATACAGAACAATTTGTGGCATACGTTTAGACCCCATATAATGTTCAGTCCTTATTGCAGCTCTAACAGGGCAAGTCATAGTGCACAGAGTAACATTGACCAAACACTATGATAGCAGGAAGGAATATTTTTAACATATAAAGCTACTTACTACTCGATAAAAGTGCATTTTACAAACCTCACCGTCTGTGCTAACAGGTTTCACTATCAAACTGTCTGTGCAATCCTAGAAATAGAATTTAGGCTGCGCAAATCATTTTGTATTCATGTTTAGTTCAATAATATTCCCCCAACTATGTGTGAAATTTAATAAATGGGATTCTTTGATGTCTGACACTATACAATCATTTTTTAATTAAGGTGTCTGTTACAATGAATGTAGCCTGTTCCTTATCATTCCAAGTGTATTAATTAAAGATGAGTCACGGACAACTGCAAAATATGACTTTATTAGACAATGCTCGTAGCCCGGCCTGATTAAACATTCTTCTTTAATTTTAGGTATCTCTTATTTCGTTTACATAAGTAAATGTCAAGTGAGTAATGATGATCTTTCACAAACGTGTAAACAGACATAGAATTGTGGTGCTTGGCACAAGGTAGAAAGCTATTTTCTTCTAAGATTAATCTCTCGTGACATATTAAATGTATTCAGTAGCGCTCACGCAATGTTTCTGGACACAGAGATGTTCTGGGATTCAGGTGACATGCCATCCGATGGGTTTTACTCTATCAGTGTTATTTTCTAAAGTGAGAATTAAAAGTGAATTTAAAATTTAAGGGCAAAATGTCACCTCTGTCAGCTATACTTTCAGTAGAGCTACTCTAACCTTAAATTCACTTTGAATCCTAATTTCTGTGAATTTTTGACATACCTTCCAATGGTACAAATGACAGAAGAGGAACACTTATGTAAATCCCTCTTTACCTGCATTTGGGATACAACTACATTCAACTTTGGGAGCACAGCCAATACCGCCACCATCACGGTTATTATGGTGCAAGGCAGTCCTGGGGGCTTTGACTGCTCGGGGAGACAAAGTCTCCCTCTGATCCTGCAAGCCGCTGCCAGTGGAATGTTAATACAAAGAGGTTGGCAGACTTGGGTGGGAGCCCCAGGGTCCCAAACATTAATGATGGCAGACTAGATGGGCCGAATGGTTCTTATCTGCCGTCACATTCTATGTTTCTAATGATGGCAGCTCTGAGAACAGTTACAGACATGCGCAGCTTAGGCCTAGCTCAGTCCCCAGAGCCTCTTCTTTTTCTCATCAACCACTGGCTTTGTGGCTTATTGTACACAGAGATAGGCAACCTTTGACACTCCAGATGTTTTGGATTACATCTTCCATGATGCTTTGCCAGCATTATGGTTGTAAGTGCATTGTGGGAGATGTAGTCCACAACATCTGGGGTGCCAATGGTTGGCTACCCCTGGCACTCTAGCAGGATATCGCAAGGTGGGGTAAGGTGGTCCAGGCACAGAAACAGTAGGATCTGTAGCCTCTTTACAATTACATTTTAGGAGATGTTGTTGTAGGTAGTAGTGGTTATGTGTTTGTTTGTATTGTGTTGTTTGTTATCTTTGTTGTTTTTGTCCTTCTTTCCTATGTGTTGTCATGGCGTCGGTGGTCCCTAACAGCTCAGCAACTAAGACGTAAATTACCTAAGCTCGGTTTGGGGGCTGTGGTCTGCATGCAAGCTGAAGGCACAATGTGGATAGCTTTGGACTCTTGTTAACGTAAATGTGTCTCTGTCTGCCTGCAGCTCACAGTTTGTTATTTTGGACAGTTGCTGGCAAGTTGTGCTGTAAAATAAAGCTGTGGACTATGCTCGATCCAACATGAAAGGTTGTCAGTCTCATTATGAAGGGCCCGGATTATTTAGAACAGGGGTACATTTCAGAGGAAATTTTAGACGGGGTTGGTTATTAACATTTAGGAATTGTTACGATTTAAAATAATTTGTGGGTCAGCAGTCATGAAAGCAACAAATTGATTTTTTCAAAACCCCAATGATCTTGGTGGAGCGGTAGTATTTAGAAATTAGGATGCTGTACTTCACTCAAAGAAAATAGTAAGTACAAATAAAAATAGCATTCCTTTATTTCTTAAAAATAAAAATAAATGCAGCTGGAAAGAAAAAGGGGGGGATAACTAGTTTAAAAGACTTACATGTGTCATTCGTTGTGGCACCTCATCGGAAACCAGAGAGGTAGAAGTAATCTCTCCAGGCTCGCCCCCATGTGCCACGTGTTTATTTTACCAATGTCCCATGTCCCCATGTCCTAGGTTGCAAGATTATGTAGAAATAAAGTATCAAAATGTATCAGATGCTCAGTCTTCATCTCCCATTATTTGCAGACAAGAACCAGAGGTTGTGGTATCCAGAGGTTAAATTACTAGCAAATGACAAACACCTCTGCAGTTGCCTACTCTGCCTAGTGGGGATTCATATCTCTCAGAATCTCTAAGGAATGCACAATGTGAAGGCACTGGCGACTTTGGCTTTTGAAAGAGGATTTGCCTTTTCATGGGAGAAAGGTAGTTCTATCTATGAATATACACTGCCCCCTACTGGCCTCAGAAAGGTCTCACACCAGTCTCCACATTACTTTCAAATACTTACTGAGTGAATGTGCCTTTGCTGTACCATTCAATGTTTTTATTCAACTTTAGTTTATCCAGATGAACTCTGCTGTAAGCTATGATATTTTTTCAATATTCACCGAGGACTTAAAACGCCGAACTAGCGCAAAGGGACATCGGCCCTGGAATCAGGTAAGTGACTAAAGGGTTTTTTACAGTTTGTAGTCCTAACACTATAGAATCCCTTTAACCAGAACGAAAAAAGTTCACCTTGCTACACATCCTCATAGTCGCCATGGCATATACTCGGCAGCCACTGTATCTGAAATGCAAATAATCCCACGGGAAACCCCACGGCTGCCACTCAATCCATACCGTATACAGCATGCAGTGTTAATCAACCATTAGAATGGGTAAAATAAGTGATCTAAGAAACGCCGAGCATGTTGTAGTTGGTGCTGCCTTTCTTGGTGTTTCCAGCATCTCAGAACAGCTGGTTTCCAGAGCAGTTTAGAGGGCACTCCAACAGTCCAGATAAGTCAGTATCTCGATTGGAACTGAACTGGGAAATGCCTGAATCCTGGGTTTTGCTGTGCATTGAGGACTGAATAGGGAACCACAGCTCTAGAGTGAACCAAGGGAAAATCTACCAGGTACTACGCTACCAGATTATAGTCTGCCAGGTACTAGACTATCAGGTTATAGTCTGCCAGGTAATAAACTATCAGGTTTTAGTCTGCCAGGTACTAGACTACCAGGTTATAGTCTGCCAGGTACTAGACTATCAGGTTTTAGTCTGCCAGGTACTAGACTAGCAGGTTATAGTCTGTCAGGTACTAGACTACCAGGTTATAGTCTGCCAGGTAATAAACTATCAGGTTTTAGTCTGCCAGGTACTAGACTACCAGGTTATAGTCTGCCAGGTACTAGACTATCAGGTTTTAGTCTGCCAGGTACTAGACTAGTAGGTTTTAGTCTGCCAGGTACTAGACTACCAGGTTATAGTCTGCCAGGTACTAGACTAGCAGGTTTTAGTCTGCCAGGTACTAGACTACCAGGTTATAGTCTGCCAGGTACTAGACTACCAGGTTATAGTCTGCCAGGTACTAGACTATCAGGTTATAGTCTGCCAGGTACTAGACTATCAGGTTTTAGTCTGCCAGGTACTAGACTATCAGGTTTTAGTCTGCCAGGTACTAGACTACCAGGTTATAGTCTGCCAGGTACTAGACTACCAGGTTATAGTCTGCCAGGTACTAGACTATCAGGTTTTAGTCTGCCAGGTACTAGACTAGCAGGTTATAGTCTGCCAGGTACTAGACTAGCAGGTTATAGTCTGCCAGGTACTAGACTATCAGGTTTTAGTCTGCCAGGTACTAGACTAGCATGTTATAGTCTGCCAGGTACTAGACTAGCAGGTTATAGTCTGCCAGGTACTAGACTAGCAGGTTATAGTCTGCCAGGTACTAGACTAGCAGGTTTTATTCTGCCAGGTTCTAGACTATCAGGTTGTAGTCTGCCAGGTACTAGACTACCAGGTTATAGTCTGCCAGGTACTAGACTAGCAGGTTATAGTCTGCCAGGTACTAGACTATCAGGTTTTAGTCTGCCAGGTACTAGACTAGCAGGTTTTAGTTTGCCAGGTACTAGACTATCAGGTTTTAGTCTGCCAGCTACTAGACTATCAGGTTTTAGTCTGCCAGGTACTAGACTATCAGGTTTTAGTTTGCCAGGTACTAGACTATCAGGTTTTAGTCTGCCAGGTACTAGACTATCAGGTTTTAGTTTGCCAGGTACTAGACTAGCAGGTTTTAGTCTGCCAGCTACTAGACTATCAGGTTTTAGTCTGCCAGGTACTAGACTATCAGGTTTTAGTTTGCCAGGTACTAGACTATCAGGTTTTAGTCTGCCAGGTACTAGACTACCAGGTTTTAGTCTGCCAGGTACTAGACTACCAGGTTATAGTCTGCCAGGTACTAGACTACCAGGTTTTAGTCTGCCAGGTACTAGACTACCAGGTTTTAGTCTGCCAGGTACTAGACTAGCAGATTTTGGTCTGCCAGGTACTAGACTAGCAGGTTATAGTCTGCCAGGTACTAGACTATCAGGTTTTGGTCTGCCAGGTACTAGACTATCAGGTTTTAGTCTGCCAGGTACTAGACTAGCAGATTTTGGTCTGCCAGGTACTAGACTACCAGGTTATAGTCTGCCAGGTACTAGACTATCAGGTTTTAGTCTGCCAGGTACTAGACTACCAGGTTTTAGTCTGCCAGGTACTAGACTAGCAGATTTTGGTCTGCCAGGTACTAGACTAGCAGGTTATAGTCTGCCAGGTACTAGACTAGCAGGTTTTAGTCTGCCAGGTACTAGACTAGCAGATTTTAGTCTGCCAGGTACTAGACTAGCAGATTTTGGTCTGCCAGGTACTAGACTAGCAGGTTATAGTCTGCCAGGTACTAGACTACCAGGTTTTAGTCTGCCAGGTACTAGACTATCAGGTTTTAGTCTGCCAGGTACTAGACTACCAGGTTTTAGTCTGCCAGGTACTAGACTAGCAGATTTTGGTCTGCCAGGTACTAGACTAGCAGGTTATAGTCTGCCAGGTACTAGACTATCAGGTTTTGGTCTGCCAGGTACTAGACTATCAGGTTTTAGTCTGCCAGGTACTAGACTAGCAGATTTTGGTCTGCCAGGTACTAGACTACCAGGTTATAGTCTGCCAGGTACTAGACTATCAGGTTTTAGTCTGCCAGGTACTAGACTACCAGGTTTTAGTCTGCCAGGTACTAGACTAGCAGATTTTGGTCTGCCAGGTACTAGACTAGCAGGTTATAGTCTGCCAGGTACTAGACTAGCAGGTTTTGATCTGCCAGGTAATAGACTACAAGGTCTAACAATGAATGAATCTAGCCACTAAGTAGATTACAATGTATGCCTCACAATCAATGCACATTTTTTAAGAATGTCCTTCTCACCTTACAACACAAACAGGCAGTAACCTTGGAAAAGATGTTTGGTTTTATAATCAACACAACAGGTGTTACTCTCAAACCATTCATATCTGTAAGGACGTAAACTTTTGTGTGCTACATACAAATATAAAACATAATACAGCTTTTATATAAATAATGATTAGCAAAAAATAAAATGAAATTAAAAATACTGTTACCAGCCTATTTCGTCTCCATAATAGATTAGCATGGATCAATCTGAGCACTCCTGCACCTGTCACGATGGCAGCTTCTGTTTTCACCTTGGCTTTAGTTATACTTTAACTGACCAGTAATGTGTGTTTGTTTTATTTTTCTTTCAGACTAGAGGCAGCCACAAGCCTTAATCCTTTATGTATATCTGCATCATGCCACTATACATACCTTGCTCAAACACACATACACTAATCAGCCAGAACATTAAAACCACCTGCCTAATATCATGTAGGTCTCCCTCGTGCTGCCCAAACTGGCCTGATTCTGTCACACTCCCCCCCCCAAACCTGTCTCATTTATCCCTTTCACCCTGTCACACTCAACCTGCCACAGTTACCCCTTTACTCACCTTGTCACAGTCACAAACTGAAGACATTCGTCATACACACATGCACAAAGGTCACAGGCAGCCCCCATAAACACCACACATCGCAAGCAGCTACCCCACACACATACGGTCCCAGACACATAAAGACATACATTCACACACAAGGATACTCTCGGTCAGACACACACTTTCATGTACATCCACAGGTAGACAATGCCAGACACACTCAGAAATACACAAACTGGCAGTAATGTATACATGAATGTAGGGTAATCATACCCTGCAGTCGTGTATAAATGACATTAAAACCACCTGCCTAATATCATGTAGGTCTCCCTCGTGCTGCCCAAACAGGCCTGATTCTAATCATACCCTGCAGTCGTGTATAAATGATTAGCATAAGTGATAAGTAAATTTGTTTATTGCAAATTAATTTAGTTTGCAAATTATGCCATAACTAGAGTGGGAGAGCTCACAACGCAGCGGCACAGGGAGCCACGACACTGGAAGCCTCTGAACAAAGAATACAGAGACTAGCTCTCTGTATCCATCTCTGCAAGCTTGTCCTTCAATACAACTACAGCACCTTATACACACAATAACCCATATTTTTTTTCCACTTAGGGTGTTAGTGGGGGCCTCATGTTTGAGTTTCGCCTAAGGCAGGCTTCCTCAAACTCCGGCATTCCAGATGTTGCTGAACTTCAACTCCCATGATTCTATAAATTAAATAGATAGGCTGAGAATCATGGGGGTTGTAGTTCAGCAACATCTAGAGGGCCAGAGTTTGGGGAAGCCTGACCTAAGGCCTCACAAAGTCTAGAGCCGCCATTTCGGTTGTGGACACGAATCTTTGTGGGCACTCTGACCGATCTGCAGATACGCAGCCCCATATGCAGCAAACTGCGATGCACTGTGTGTTCTGACAACTTTTTTTCATGGCCAGAATTACATTTCTCAGCAATTTGAGCTACAGTAACTTTTCTGTGTGGTCGGACTAGACAGTTAGTCTTTACTTTCCAGGTGCATCAGTGAGTCTTGGTTGCCCATGATCCTGACTCTGGTTCGCTGTGGTTGTCCTTCTCTGCAACACGTTTAGTAGAGACTAACCACTGCATACCTGGAACTCCCCGCAAGACAGGCCATTTAGAGATGCTCTGACCTGTTGTCTAGCCATCACTACATGGTCCTTGATCAAAGTCACTCAGATCTTTTCACTGGCTCATTTTACCTACTTCCAACACATTAAATTCAAGAACTGCCTGTTCACTTGCTGCCTAGTATAAATATATAAATTAAATTAAATTTACTGTTGTTCATCATCTGCATATCTCAAATAAGACCTTGGAAAAAATAGATCTGATAGACGGTAATTTAGGGAAATAATGTTTTCACAATTTTCCCAGAATTCCCAGCTCCATATGTGAATACGCACAGACCAGCATCGTGCATTCTGCAGATACTCTTAGCAATGGAGTATTGTATTAAACACAGATTTGTAAGTCCAGTATGGGTTCCTATCCAAAAGGCCCAATGAGCAGAAACCAACCATGGACTGTAGAAGTTCAACATTATGAGTCTCATCAGTATGGTATATGGGGCTACTCCACATATAACAGAGCTTCTCTGGGTACTAAGTCAGCTTTGCTAATTATAACAAGATCTTCCTATAGACCCATGAAAGGTTGAAATGCTGATGGAATAAAATAAACATTAACGAGAGATGGATAAGTCCCATAACTACATCTGATATTTTCTAATTATACTCATTAGACAAAAATAACATCAACAGATAGCAAACAGTTAATATCAATGTATGTAAGCAGCCATTGCCTCCAGAAAGGCTTCACGTGTTCTTGGAATGTTCTTGAAATGTTGTTATGCAAGTCTCGAACTGTTTGTAGTGGGATAACAGAGACCTTTCTTCAAAAGAAAAGCCTGAAGTTCATTGAGGGATGAAAGACAAAGACATCTACTTCATGTGCACCACACACATACAAACAAATGCAAGGTGGAAAAAATTATCCTCTGGACATGAACACGCAGACGCTCCCATGTGATTAAAGGAACCCTAACAATAACCCTAGGCCCTAATACTACCAGTTATATTCAAAATATATCTTTTAAAACTATGTTTAAGTGGTTTGTTTTATTTATTTCCTGTCACAAATGCAACATAATCTGTATCTACTCTAGGACTCTGCTATTTTCAAAATGACATCAAATGTCGACCCCATCGTGTGCCTATTATTTAGCTTTTATAATAGCAAGCTCCCAGATCTGTGACACTTCTTGTTATCCCTAAAAAGTGACAAATCTATCTGTCCCAAAAGGTATGGAGCGTACAATAGCCGAGCTACCGCAACACCTTTCATGACACAACCCTACAGCCTATTTTTACTTTAGTGTTAGAAAAGGCTACTGGGTATGATATAAAGTACTCACCTTCTTGTGAAAAGCAAGATTGTTCAAGTAATCCCAAGACAGTAAGCCACACAACCAAATCCATTTTCTCCGTATGGTTGTCTGCGGAATAAAACACTTGGCTTCGTGATTTCATTTGATGTCTATACAGCAGGCAGTTAGATTAAAACATTTACAGCAAGGAATGACTTGCACAGAGGAGCTATATATAGCGATGAAGACTGATCAAGACAGGTGGCAAGCTTAAGACACGAGAACCACAAAAACTGACACTTTTTCACTAAAATGACATGTGTCTGACCATGACACAACCAGAGAAATATCTCATTATCTAGGGCAGGGTTAGGCATCATTCAGCACTCCAGATGTTAAAGACTACAGATCCCATAATTCTCTTAAAGCGATAATGCTGGCAAAGCATCAAGGGAGATGTAGTCCACAACACCTGGAGTACCAAAATGTTAAAGTACAGAACTATTTAACCAAGTATTCCAATAAGTACTGGGTTTATTGATATTGTTGGAAGCTGGAGGGGAAAAGAGAAAAATTTAAATTATAACAATCTAATGATGTAAGAATATTGCGTTAAAACACAGCTCTGTCATACACAGCAGCAACCACAATTTATTTGTACATGCAGTATATATATATATATTTTCTATTTATTTTTGGTAGTGCATGTTTGACAGATAAGCTTTCGTAAACATTATTATATGAGTATACAAAATGCGTTTGAAGTCATAGCTCATATAACGTAGTAAAAGTAGATCCTGATAGTCAAAGAATATGTCTATCAGAAAATATATGAGAGGGAATAAGATAGAAAATAGAATAAAAGCTCTGAAACTGGAAGAAAAGGGGTTTCATCAAATCCCATACATATTCATAAATAAAAATAAAAAGTATCCAGGAGCTTGTAACATATAACTAATAGAATATAAGATGTATTAGTAACGAATTAATAAAAATATCAATATAATCAAACATGCTAAGAACATCCAAAAGAGAGAATTACTAGATAGTCGCTTTGCATAAAAGTCCAAATTGTAAATGCATGAGGGATCAGTCCAAACATAAGAATAAATGCTTATAGCACATATAGTCCTTAAACATGTACCGTAAATAACCTCTGACCTCTAAGGATATCCTTTACAGAATCAGATAAGGTTCTTATGAATTCAATCTACATTCTATTCAATCTACAGTTCATCTGTTCAGGTTACATTATTTTTTTTAGCTCCTCTCACTTTGGAATATCTGTGTGGAATATTTTTTACCCAGTATTTTATGGTTTATTAGAACTGTTTATTACTATTCTTGATGTTACTATTTTTGATGTGACTAATGCATTTCTATTTTTAATTAAGACCTTTTTTACAAGTCATTTCGGATGTACATGGACACATTTTTAGTATTATTAGGGTACTAACACGGAATACTTTAGTATCCATTTTGGTTGCTACAGTTGTGATTTTTGGCGACTGGCCCAGATTATTATCTGAAACTGTCAATTAGGCTGTTAGTTTGTGATACTAACAAGCCCAGGTTATGTTTATATTTTCATATTTTATTTTTATTTTAGACCTTGAATGAAGATTGAATTCATAAGAACCTCATTTGATTCTGTAAAGGATATCCTTAGAGGTCAGAGGTTATTTACGGTACATGTTTAAGGACTATATGTGCTATAAGCATTTATTCTTATGTTTGGACTGATCCCTCATGCATTTACAATTTGGACTTTTATGCAAAGCGACTATCTAGCAATTCTCTCTTTTGGATGTTCTTAGCATTTTTGATTATATTGATATTTTTATTAATCCGTTACAAATACATCTTATATTCTATTAGTTATATGTTACAAGCTCCTGGATACTTTTTATTTTTATTTATAGATCATATAACGTCTGAGGAACTGCACTTTTTTATAATAACATTACAAACAGGAAGCTATGCGTGTAGGCTCTGTCATATTAACGGGTTCACATTAGCAAGCGTAGGCAAAGAAGCGTAAACAGAACTGCCCTGTAAGCTGTATAGTATAACTTAACATGCATGAAACAGGATGAGCAATATGTCAGTCGATAAGTAGTCTAGTTATAGCCTCAGGTCAGGTCATATTAACTGACATGTAGTGTGGTCATCGAGTGGGGGTCGTAGATAAAAACAAAATACAGTGATAGGAGTATAAACAGCCTATTATGGGTCAGAACCAGCTACACTAAGAGTTAAGGTAACTGTGGTCTGGAGCTCTATGTGAAAAAACGTTCTGTTCCCTAAATTTAACAGTCCCGGTCATGCTGTATAACAGCTTTAAAATCATTGCTTATGGACCTAGCAATGAAAGTTCAGGAGGCCTGATATATAGAGTCTCTGTCAACCGATGCCCTCTGTTGGGAAGCAGCAGGAGCCAGCTGGTGGGCCGCAGCCGCATAGGTGTTAGTGAGGGTGTCCCCCGTGCCCCAGGCTGGTGCGTAGACCTTCATCTCAGGGCCACAAACTCTGCGACTTCTGGAGCCCAAGTTTCCTCAACATGTGGGAGTGACGGAGGACCTGATGAACTTTGACTGCTTGCGGCGTTTGAGCCTCCATGGGTGTGGACGATGCTTCCGGGTTTTCACCATTTTGTGTGCCCAAGGGTGTGTCCCTCACTCCTGCTGCCGGTGGCTCCACTCACCCGTTGTCTGTGGGGTTCTCTGTGTGGTCTGTTCTGCTCACTGTCGTTCCCATAGTTTGTCCCAGAAGCGTTGAAATATTTTGTCCAGGCGATGCATGGTGTCATGGTTGAGCATTTGGTGTGGGAGCAGATTCTGCATGAGTGGTGTGCTGTCAGCCGCCATCTTAGGTGTGCCGCGTGGAGGACAACACCGCCTTGTTGCTGCTGCAGAGATTGATCTGGGCTGACTGCTCTAGGCACACAGTGAGGACTGGAATATCCCACACTGGTCCACAAGGTGAGCGGCCGCCTCTCCACGGCAGGATCGCAAGTAGACCTCATAGTATAATTGCGGGTTCCCGGTCAGTTTCAGGTTCAAGCTTAGATCAATCAATTCACCAGGGTGTCCCCAACCTGTCTGTCACCCTCCAGATGGAGGTTTTTGCCCCGAATTGTGCAGAGTTTGTCAGGAGCTTATTCTCGGCACGTCCATTCAGCCTGGAAGCTAGGCTCCATCCCCCCATACAGTATATTTTTTGTTAAATTTGTTTTACTTTTTAGATACATGTAGTACACCCTTTTTACCTTATTTAGGTATTACTCAATTATGCTTCGATGGGGTATGGATTAAACCTAGATCTACACATTGACTCAATATAGTGAAAACGTGACACTGTACTAACAACATAACACGTGATAGAAGCTGCACAAACACTCCCTCACAGCTACAACCAATCAATACATAGAATACAAAACAACAAAGTGGATCTAAACCTAGACACATACTACAACCATTATGTAGCAGCTTGACACCCATAGCCTGGCCTCTTTGCTGTCTGTCTATAGCCTAGAGAGGTGCAGGGATGTAAAGTAAGCCAAGGAAAATAAGTCATGTTGGCAATCTGGCAACAGCCAGATACAAACCCCCTCTCTGGGGTCACCCCATACTGAGTATTTAATGTTTAGCAGCTGCCATGTTTTTTTTCAAGGTTTTGCTAAATTGACCATAACAGCAGCACAGACTGAGACGATAGACGTGTTTTGTTCATTATAATTGCAGGAGACTTGTTTCCAGTTTTGGCCTACAATTTTTAACTCCCTTGTTAATCCATTATAGTGGATAATGCCCTCTCTATACCCGGCCAGCCATGAAGTAGAAATGCTTGGCCAGCAATGCTATTGACAAATATATTGGTTTTATAAGGAATTATAATAATATTTTATTATCACTGTCTCTCATGCAGTTTCCGTGTCTGTCTTTATTCCCGGAAGCCCTTATACATATAAAACTTTAATAACGTTAAAGCCTTTTTTCTACTATATGTGTAAAACCTTAATATATTTTATACAGAATGACTGTGGGTGGAGGAGGCCCCTACAGCCAGGGGTTCATGGGTAAATCTTATTTTATGTTCTTAGTATGTACATTGGTAGAGGGGGTTCATTGGTACATCTTATTTTATGGTTTTATTACGTGCATTGGTGGAGGGGGTTCGATGGTATATCTTATTTTATGTTTTTATTATGTGTTTTGGTGGTTATTTTAGCATTGTCAATCTATGTTACATAGTTACATAGCTGAAAAGAGACTTGCGTCCATCAAGTTCAGCCTTCCTCACATATGTTGTTGCTGTTGATCCAAAAGAAGGCAAAACACCTAGTCTGTAGCGCTTCCAATTTTGCCACAAACTAGGAAAAAATTCCCTCTTGACCCCAAAATAGCAATTAGATGTCTCCTTGGATCAAGCAGCTATTACCCCACTAATTAGAAATTATATCCCTGTATGTTATGTTTTTGTAAGTATTTATCCAATTGCAGTTTAAACATCTATAATGACTCTGACAAAACCACCTCTTCAGGCAGAGAATTGCATATCCTTATTGCTCTTACTGTAAAAAAAACCTTTTCTTTGCCTTAGATGAAATCTCCTTTCTTCCAGCCTAAATGTGTGACCTCGTGTCCTATGTATAGCCCTGTTTATGAATAGATTTCCAGATAAAGGTTTGTACTGGCCCCGAATATATTTGTATAATGTTATCATATCCCCTCTCAGGTGCCGTTTTTCCAAACTAAACAGATTTTAATTGTTTTAACCTTTCTTCATAACTAAAATGCTCCATTCCATTTATCAAATCCCTCTGCAGCAAAGCAATATCCTGCTCACATTTTATTACTTTACAAAGTTTTGTGTCATCTGCAAACACTCATACATGGCTTTCAATGCCCATTTCAAGATCATTTATAAATATGTTAAATAGAAGCGGTCCCAAAACAGAACCCTGAGAGACACCACTTACCACTTTTTTTCAGCCTGAAAATTTACCATTAATGACAACTCGTTAAGCCAATGTTCTACCTAAGAACAAGAATATTCATCTAGACCAATTTCTTTTAGTTTGAAGACTAACCTA